CCTTAAGAGGCCAAACCTGAAACATGACAGCGGTAACAGAAGGACCAGAGAAACATTCATTATATTCCTCGTTATGCACTAATAGTGCCGAGTTACATACAGCTATCCAAAATAAAGGGTTCCTGTATGTAGGGAGAACCACTGAAGGGCATCCACATAAAGAATATCCTAGTCGCGCGCGGATCGTCGTCGGCTTGTGTGACTCCAACAGACCGCTCATGATTGGGAGTATTCGATAAGAAGTGGCCCTTGGAATGGGGAACGAACAGGCGTGGTAACGAGGAATGGGATTGCTACTGGGTTCCTTTCGGGCTTGGCTAGAAGCAATTCAGCCAATAGCCGTGCTCAAATTCGTGGGCCAGCAAGAGAAGTTGATGGAGCACGGCAATCTTAGACCGTTTCTAAGGGGTTCCTGTGATGAGCAACTGATCTTAAAAGCCTGCTTCACGAATACGTTTTGAGTAAGTGATAAGCAAAAAGGCTCCGTTTAACGGCCCATTATGATGCTTACGAGATTTTCACAATCTGGCGGTCGGAACAGGACCCGAAATGCTTCATACTGATTAGTTATGCTAATTTGATAAACTTCGCCATGGGTTGATCATAACCTCACGACAAACCCGACGAACACGACGAACACGTCTCTCATACATATCATTGCACTGAGACGAGAGAGTGAACTGTTCAAGAGCGTCCTCATACACGTCTAAGAAAGAGGCATTTTAGATGAAGATAGCAACCCGAGTCGGAGGGCCGGCAGGGATTATAACTAGCCTATCATATCCCTTGGCGCAGATTAAAGTTGTTCTTCCGCTCTGCAGGGCGCCAATTTCAGAAGATGTGAGAAGGACCCCTAAAAAAGCGACCTCCTTCGGATTTTACAGGATGCAGGTTAGGCAAAATACCAAATGCCATCCGCCAAAACCCCATGAAACGGCGGGAATGCCACTAAGAACTGCGTCGTCGCTAAACCACCCAATTCAGTTCAATTGAACAAGAACATTTCTGCCTCGCTCTCAATTTTCCATTTCGCACTCCTCATATGATTGACTTGAGAGGAAGACGATCAGGCTGGGCGAAACAAGAATATTCGAGACGACGCAGAAATGGCGTAATCGGAACGTTCTCGGGTCTTTTCTGGACGGTTCAATGGCCTTTCGGGCTAGGGCAGCCCCCCGGAAGATGACGATTTTTGTAGGCGGGAGCAGACAAGGCAGATATATCTGGGGGGGGCATCAGAGCTGAGAGACAGCAGAGGCGCAGAGCTGGACTTGCCTTTGTATTGTACAGTCGAAGACACAGTACGGCCAATTCAGCAACAAGTACACCATCTATCAGTTAGTACCCTAGGTACATGATATAAGTACAGCGACGGTGCAGCATTTCCAAATCGGATGCGGGGCCTTTCCACGCCCTGGCGTGTGGTGAGAGGTACCTAACGCGGTACGTAGTGATGTCATTTATAAGCAATATGTGGTACTACGTACCTCTATTATGGTTTATCATGGTTAACTCGTTGCCGCTTCAGCTCAACTAGCCAATACGTACCGAACAGGCATCTAGTGCCCTGAGTTGTTCTGCCTGTCTGCTCAAGCTGTCAAGCTGTCAAGGCGACGAAGCTGACAAGGCGACGCCATCTTGCTACGACTTCAAAAACACAGCTCGCTAGGATTCTCATAGCAGAATGACGATCCAAATGTTAAGATCTACCCAAAATATCCCCCATGCACCAAGCCCTCATCTGATTAGGTATTCAAACAGATTAACGAGACGTTTTCTGCATGCCTTACCCACCGTCGAATCATTGCCTTCATAGGAAGGTATACTAGCAAATCCTCATTTTGAGCCAGGCTATTCACGGCAAGTTTGTTACCAGTTCCTATTGTCCGTTATCCTCTTTGTTCGATCCAAGTCGATTTAAAGTCGATTTAATTAAGGGCCATGTTTTCCCTCGGGACCTGCCCCTGTCGCGTTTAGCAGTTAGTATATCGACACTATATCGACACTTTTCATGTGGCTGCTTGCCATGCTTGCCATACATAGTATCTACCTATCGCGGTGACGACATGAGTACCAATCTCCGTAAGAGGCTCACTGATCCTCACCGGGGCCTGCATACGTACCTGGGTACCTAGGAATCCTATTGATTCCCCCCCGCGATCAAACGCTCATGGCTTCTCTCATGTGTATCAGCCACCCGCGCCAGGCCGAGCACTTTCTGAGACCCCTTAATATCAAGCTTCCTCGACAAGCCTTCCTCCTTCCTCCCAAATACATATTCCCACCAAACTTTTACTATGTAGGTTCTTAACGCTTCGTCATATTTCTAAATCCTCTTGCGATCTCCTGCTGCTTGCCGCTGCTTGTGCGTATGTCGTGGAACAGTAATGACATCACCCTCACATTTCACTTACCAACTAAGAGGACTGTAGTTACCATTTCCCCTCATTAAACGTTTCAATGTCATCCAGTCAAGCCTTCGTCGAAACTACATAATGTGATTTCAATATGTGAGATCCCTTATGAGGCAAGTATAATAATAACAATACGTATATACAAATATACGTATATACGTATACTTGCATGCGCATTTTCCCTCGCATGCCCGTATGCTAGGTATGTACATATTGAATGCTGTGTAATATCGTTATACCTGATTAAGCATTCTATGCTCGTTATGCATACTGTGAACTGTGAACTGTGAACTGTGACTAAAAGGTAACGCCCGCTTTTCTTCCGGTATCCAAAAATTCGAAGGGCCGAATCCTGCACGTCTCACGTACTTCAACAACGGCTATCAATTTCTTCCACATATGCCAGTCCCACCCAGCAATTATATATTGTGGCCCTGTGTTATCCATCAACACGTAACACGGCTGCCCAAGTCTCACCCGGCTTCTAACTAACGAACTATCTACACTATTGTTAATAGGGTAGAACACTTGCTCCATATGCCTACCCACAACAACGCAAGCGCCTCCACTTCTAACTTTTGTCAGAAGTGTCAGAGTGTGTATCCCACACTGCATCACGGACGCTGGAATATCTTCATCGCAACAGGGGGGGAGAGAAGATGCACTTCACCGACAAGAAGCGTCCTCGAAGTGCCGATCCTCTCTGCTCCCGCGATGCTTGTCCGACGTGTCTAGCCAATCACACATCATAGACACTTAACATCATCTCCTCCAAGCCTAGTACCAGAGATCGTCGGTCGTTGGGGCCAAGTCTTTTGCTGCCGGAGCATTCTCGCCTCCTAGTTTATCGCACCCCCCAAAAAAGGTATATCACGAGGGGCCTCGTTAGGTCCGCGGCCTGCCACGTGCAGCATCAGCCGTCGCCTCTCATCCGCTCCCATAGTCCGTCCATAGTGTACCGCCATGGCGAGCGGGGCTTGTTGTGTGGTAAGGCGCATTGGCACACTCTTCTACGTACAAACCTATCTACATACCTTGCCGGCCTGCCAGTTTGCCTGCTTATCAGATGGCGGCCTAGCTACCTAGCTGCCTAGCTGCCTAGTCCAGATAATACCCTCGGTGTTATCGAGGCATCGTGCTATAGCTATGTGTGCCGGCAGCTAGATTGTGCCTCTCCCTCGGGATCGTCAACGGGTCGTGGGCTATCGTCACGAGGTTATTAGGCATTACGAGATGGTAGAGACGATCTCCAGCTACACCAGAAGCTAGAGCTTGGATCAACATAATTTGCAGCCGGCTGGCGTCGAACACCAACACAATCCCGATCCACTCGGTTGCGGGAGGTGAGAACCCTCGTGCTTGGGATCACTGGTATTTACCACACGTACGTAGCCTTGGGTCCTTCTAGCTCAGCTTCGAGAAGCAGGATTTCGTCAGAGCCTCGTCCTCGTTGTGGTTCTTATTTTAACTAGCCAACCTGCCACGAGCTTATCATACATAACGCGGTAAGAATCCTCCCTACATACGATCAAGAAAGGTTGACAAGTGGCCGGGCGGTGATCTATCATGGATCTCTTCCCCTTGGGAAACCAGCGCGTCGTGATCAACAAGGTGGCATTCGCCCTGATCAGCAAAGTGAGCTCGCGGAACTGGAGTATGGGAAAAGCGCGGGACTCGCTGCGTTTTACTACGCTAGCCTGCCTAACAGATCGTGCATATAGTGGTTGCGGAATACCCAACCGAGTAAGTTGGGCTTGAAGCAGGACTCCACCGGGTCTCTGGGTACCCTCCTTCACGTGCTAGTGCACGAAGCCGTCTTTTTCAATATACACACGTAGATTTCTAGAAGCAGAAGGGTGTGTACATGAACCCGAATCGGTTATGAAATTTGACTAGATTTGTACGGTAGCATACATGCATTTCTACTAATCAGTAAAGCTCATTTCGAATCTCGTCTCCGTGAAAATGGATGGCGGATCCAGCGGGAGCTTCGCTGAAGTTCCGAAACCCAGACGCAGCCAATGAATTAAACGATGACAAGAATATAGCAGCATCTAAATATACGAAGTTCTATCCTTGAACGCTATTGGCGCCACGCATTTCCCCGTAAATTGGAGACGCTAACTTGAACTTCATACAATACGTCTTCACCGTCGCTGTCGCCGACACGCTCGGGTCTCTGCTTAGGTTGCTTCGGTACTGAGCCATCAGGAGCAATTCCTGAACTCTCATTAGAGTTTGAAGCCGCGGGCTAGCTGGTATACCATGCTCATGATCTATGACGGCATACATACCATCGTCTTTTGTACGTCACGACTGTTGTCTGTCATGTTCAAACTTAGGTGCCTAGGCGGTCGTTGGACTTCGCCTCAGATCTGCACCTCTACATGACCAAGTCCTAGACCGGTAGAATCGTAAAAATAAATTAGTTACAATTAAAAGCGGATAGCTGCATTACTTTTGCATCGACACGATGGTTTCAAGCCAATGGGCAAATTTGGCAAGTAGGAACTACGTCTCTTGGGAGGCTGCGGGTGTGGAGGTGATTCCACCTGGGGAAGAGGAGGATATGAGAGCCGTGATCGCGCAGATCGGCGAGATGCAACGGCGCCAGTACAACAAGACACGACATTGTTACGGTGGTACCCACGCTAGAACGCAAGGCATTGTCAAGGGAAAGTTTGTCGTACCGGGAGATCTGCCCAGACATCTAAAGCAGTCGGAGCTCTTCAAAGAAGCCGGAGAATACCCCGTGGCATGTCGCTACAGCTCAGAACCGGGCGATCCAGGTCTCGACGCAGGTGTTTCTAAACGTACCGAGCTACCAGCGGATTCTGACATTGCGAACAGGATCGTATTGCCCAACCGCGAGGTTTTGCTATGAAGATTTTCAATGTGAAAGGAGAGATGTTCGACGCCGGTCGAGACTATTCGACCCAAGATATCGAGTTCAACAGCATGCCAGCCATCGAGCTTGCTGACGCTGAAACGACCAGAGAGGTTTTAGGTATTCGTCTGATGTACGATAACGACAAGGCGGAGATGTATAAGCACTTAAAAGAGCGGCCCGACTATGAGCTTCAGGTCTCGCGGGACAAGGTTCCAAACAAGCATCTCGCGTCGATGAGATGGTATTCGCAAACCGCCTATCGTTTTGGTGACTATATTATGAAATATCGGCTCGTTCCATCCACCGAAACGCAAAGAAAGCTAGCTAAGAAATCAGTGAAGCCGGAAGACGCCGACGATGTCTTACACCGATGGTTGCAAGACTTCCATCATGATTACGATGCCGAGTTCTTGTTCCAGGTGCAACTCGTCGAAAACTTGGACGAACAGCCTGTCGAGTATGCCGGCATCGCATGGGATGAGAAGAAATACCCCTGGCAACCAGTTGCTGAACTCAGCATTCCCAAACAGGAAAGTTTCAACTACGAGAGAAACTCGTTCTGGGAGGATCACATGAGGCTCGATCCGGTGGGTATCACGCAATTTCCTCGTCTCTGCTGTCAAAGTGAAACATCTCCCTTCTCACTCACCCTTTTTCAAATCCGGGATCATGTGCAATATAATTCAGCCCTTAAGCCCGACCCCGCGGATCGTACAAGCAAGGAATTGCTAATCACAAACGCAGTGGCATGGCCTCGTAACACTTCAGCCCTTGGGCAGTTCAAATCGCTTAAGAAGAGTTGGTAAGTGAATGTGCACGAGATCAAAGCACGACGTGGTTCTCACACAAAAGTTTGGGCAGTATATCCAGCCAGCAGCGCCTTGAGGCGAAAAATGAATGCGAGGCAGGAAATCAATGTCAGAAGCATCGACGAGATTCCAGGTTGATTCGTACCACTCGATTAACTGCACCAAGGAACGGGATGGAACTATGGCGTTAAGGGTTGCATTCAGCGCTCGCGAGGTTTACATAACAGACAAGCCAGACGTGCAGGTCGCTTGGGATGATCACGAACTATCCGCTACCGGCCGGTATATACACAACGCCGGAACATAGGCGAGTAGTATACCCATGAGCTTTTCCGCTAGATAGGTAGTAAACACTGCGCTGCGGAGGTAGGATGCCGTATGCGAACAAGGTCTTGGCCTACAGATAAAAGACGTGGGACTCCGTAGCAAAAAGGGTATCAAGAGAATATTTTTACCAATTCGAATTCGTAACAAAAAGCAAAAATAAATTATAAGCCGAGCACATTAGCAGAGGGAGAGCCATCCAATCGCAATTTGTATCTCCCGATCCCCCGAGGTAGGACTGAATATAAATAAATAGTCGCCACATATTTGAGTAGTACCTATGCTTCGGGCCAACAACAACAGGAGCAGAGTTGTTGAGAATGGGAGAAGAATGGTAGGTTTGCAAAATGCTAGGTACGTACGGGTACCACTGCCGTGAGGATATCGCCATCGCGGTTACATCGGGGCCTGATTTAAACAAACGCCTGCGCGAAATTCGTTACCCGACAGCGTAGCATGGCATGGCATGCATGCATGGGCCGAAAAGACGAACTTTGCCGACTGCGTCCTTCCTGTTCGATCGGCAGATTGGCTAGCAGTCGCCGGCAACCGGGAACCTTCGCTCCAGCTCAGCGCTTGTTCTATGTATGCCCCCTTTGGAGTTTGGATATGCGGGATCGCTGGTGCGTCTCAGCCTTTCTTCTGTCTGTCTATCTGTCCAACCGACCAAAGCTCGCTGCATCGATCGCCGAGCTGCGCGAGGAAGAAAGAAAAGAAAAGAAGATTCTGGTAAATTGCCGTCTTGGGCAGCTCGTAGGAATCCTCCGTCCTGGCTCGGACGTCCGGGGTTCAGCGCTACAAGCCAAGCCGGCGGAGCAGACTTCGTAGGTATGAGGAAAGCCTTGGTGAAACAACCGGTGACTAAACCAGCCAGCCAGCCAGCCATCCGTTGCGGTTTGTACCGGGGACTCATGGCCGTGGTACGCTCGCTGTCCTGCAGGTAGCTGATGGGATAGTCACGACACGCTGCCGTATTGGCGTCTTGTAGTGGCGATTGATTGATCAATCAAGTCGAGTTCTATGAGGTATCTAACCCCCGAAGCAGCATATACACAAGCCCCGTTTACTACAGACTACCAGCGGCTAGCTAGATCCATCCCTCTTCCCGAATCTTAAGCGAGATACTTCGTCCGTCTCGAGGAGCAGCGAGGGGCTGCCAGTGGGTTTCCCACCGGAGGCTCTTCGATGGGAGAACCGACCAATATCCTCCCCGGAGAACGTCTCCAGGTCTGGCTCTCGAGGGTGATGACCTCATTTGGTATCCAGGCCTTAAAGATGCTGTTTCGGGATAACGTATCGGGGGGAGTTATCTAGGTATGTAGGTAATCACCTATACATATCGATGGAGTCTCCCCTTTAACTCGTTAAGTAAGCTTAGACGAGGCCCGTCTATCAGCCCCATGGCTATCCCTAACGCCTAATCCAAGACGGAGACCCCTTGCCCCGATGGCCCGATATTCTATGCCGTCTTCGGGAGCTAGGTACATCTCTAGTTGGGGGATCCGTAGTGATATAGACCTGTAGCTAACTTTTAATTTCTGTTATGAGGTGGAACTAAATAGTATAGAAACAACTTCATACACGTAAAAATACAACCAGTAGTCATATAAGGTGCACGAGATCTAAGTGTATAACAGTGTTAATTAAGGAACTAGAAACGAGCTCTACGACCTATAGTTTAGAGATTGCTTACCTAGGTTAGGTAGTTAATAATAGTTTAATCTGAAAACGTAATACAATGAACTAAGTTACTGAGGCTGGCTCCGTGACAGAATGTGTCTCTTATTAATCTTTGTTAGGTATTAATGTCTGTTCTCAATAATAATGTCAAGCCTCTCTTCCGCCTTCATATTAACCGGTTTTCGGCTTTTTACTTGGTGTCGCCGACTCGTTATCGAGTTGGTCCATAGTTCTCTTCGCTGGCTGGTAAATGTTAGATTGGATTCTGAGAGAGCGGGAATAGTAACTTACAGTAGACTTATTCGAGTGGCTTCTGCCCCTGCCTCCGAGCCGACTTATCTCGTCGAACTCGTCGTCCATGATTGGCCCTTGCCTTTCGGAGGGGGGAGGGTTCGATTATGGGCTTCCGACGCTTCGAAGTCTAAGCGGCAAGGGGGATCCTTCTGTGCCAGCCCCGTATAGACCGGCGGCTCGCATTTATTAGGTCCGGCAAGGAAAACCAATCCCCCAATGACACGCCTGTTGAATGAGATGGCGCTTGCCTTGCCTAACCCCTTGTGCCTGTACTCCCAACGGACCTTCTTCGCAATAGCCTCTAAGGCCTATCTCAGTGCTCGTCGTAGATAAATAGAAATGGTAGGCCATATTTGAGATTTAAAACGAAATTAGATTAAAATAATTCTTTAGCAAACCTTCAATCTACTAAAGATATCTTTATACTATTACTAATCTAAACTTAATATCGTACAAATAAATGCTTGTTAATACCCCTTTCCAAATTCTTTTTTTTTTTTTTCAAACGTCCTCATTTCGTACGTCTATGTTTAATAAATCGCTATTCCTCCTCTTGACCATAACTGCTACCACATCTTCGTGTAGATAGTCTGGCTCGCAGTTACCGCGCGCAGTCTCCACTTTCTGAAACCAATCCAAGATCTCTTTGTCCACATAGAGAAAGTAATTGTATTTTCGTCTACTCGTACCTTTCTTCTCTTCTGACGGTATAGTAGCAGCCCAACGACGGAACTCCTCGCGAAGTTCTAATATTGACTTGCCTTTCAAATTATCCTCGTCATCTTTAGTCAAGAGCTCGAATCTCGACCGCAGGATTGCACGACGATAGAACGTCCTCGTTTTCATTTTCTACTCCTCATTTCGTACGTCCATGTTTAATAAAACGCTCTTCCTCCTCTTCATCCCTTTAGAGGGTTCTTATCACGTCCTTTGGTATATATAGTTTCGGGGAAGGTTTGGAGGGCTTCGGCGAACTTGCGAAGGCCTTGCTGGTATTTTCGGGACTAGTATAGGTTTCTGCTTGCTTGCCAGATCATTCTTCTATGCTTCGCACAGATTAGTTAAGGTCTCGGTTAACTTTATTGAGCTATTTATAAGTTCTGACAGATCTTTTTTGGCTGCTCGGTTTTCGTCCCGAGATGTTTTTAACTTATATAGTTCCTTCTCCATGTTATCGATTCGGTTCTCGTGGTTCTTTTTCAAATTCTTTGACGTTCTGAGTCGGGTCTGGAGGCTTTTGTATGCCTCGAGATGGTAGGACTCATTTTGATCATCGTGAAACTTGTTGATTACTAGAAGTTCTTCTGGCAGACGTACAGAAGGACTTGTGTAAGCTAACTACTAAGCTAATTACTAAGCATCTGTGCCGAGCATTGGCTATCCGTAGGTTATGCCCAGGACTGTAGTTTAGGAGTAGGTTGAGGTTGCAAGTTCTAGTCTTATAGGTAGTCTTGTAGGTTATGATTAGGTTATGATCAGGTTCCGGATCTAGGATACAGGTTCCCGGGTTCTCAGCGGCGGCGGCGTTACCTATAGGGTGGGTGTTCTTGACCGGTTCCGGTTCCAGCTTCTGGGAGATTTGACGTTCGAGAAATCTATCCGATTCCTCCAGCGACAATCCAGCGAATCTCAACACGATCTGGTTTCGCAGCAACGGGCTACCAGAATCAGGCTCCACCATTGCTATTGTCTGACGTCCACCGATAGACATTGATGTAGTGCTTATAAAAGACGTCATCTTTTCCTCAACTTCGGGCCTTATACCATATGCTATATCCCTAAATGTAAGGATTTTGCCTTCGAGTTCTGCTTTGTTAATGGCAGGTAACGCATCAAAAAAAGGGACTTCGGGGAATTATTTCGTCGGCATTTTCTTCAACTTTTTCGCAGTTTAGTAATAACTGCTTCCGAAACAGACTCCATCGTGGCGTGAGTAAATGATATGTAGGATTTAGAGGAGATATGATGATGGGGATAATAATGATGATGGTGGGTGGATTAGATTTGTTGAAATACAAGTAGCCGCGTTGGATCCAGTAAAAGTAGATATAATGGATGGATGAGGAGTAGTAAAAATGACATTTCCCTAGGATGACTAAGTTAGCATGTAAAACGAGTGATGATAGGGCGCAATTAATATACCTTTAGGTGAATATGTTTCACGGCGTAGCCGAGAAGATCGTTATTTAGGCTATTGTCTATTTTGTCTCTGTAGTTTGTAAGAATAGCCGGGGGGTGCGATGGTGCGAAGGGCTGTTGAACGTGGGAATTTGTTATTGCTTTTATGTGTAGATGTTCGAAAGATTTAAGATTAAAGAAGAGGGCGTGCAACGATTCCTGGCATATTTCGTCCCAGGTTGTCGCCAGCCGCTATCCATCGAAGGATGCGGTCTTGAGGATAGGATATTCCCTGGACTCCTCAGTCTCCATACCAGCGCAAGGATCCAGTAGAGCCTGTGATTATGGGAACTACCTCGACCTTGCCACTCGTACCGGGACCAAAAGTTGACCATGTTAAATTTCTGTTTTAAAACGATCTTGCGGAATAGGTTCGTTCTAGAATAGAAATGCCACGCCGCGATATGTCGGTTTTCTGGCAAAAGCATCCGAGACAAAGCCAAAAGGGCCGCGTGCCTTTGATGCCGACAGCGCATCGGGATATGCTGTTAAGAAGAGCTTGCGAGGATAGGATAGGATAGGATTTAGAGTAGGGTAGGAAAGTATATTATATGTTTAGTTGAGTTGGTAAGAAAGTATGGGAAAAGAAGAAAAGCGAAGGTAAGTTATTGGGGTGGTACGGTTTAAAATATATTAAAAAAATTGGCGGTGTAAAGGTGTAATAGCTGCTTTTGGCAGAATTAAAAATTGTAAGGGAAAGTGCGAGGCTTAAGTACGTGCAAGAATAGGTACCCAAGGCAACCAGCCTGGACGGCAACTGCAACCTATAAAGTTACACTTGACGTATAAGGTTTTATTCTTTGATAGCAGCTGCAACTCTACGAGTTGCACCTGCTATCTATCTAAAGCTTATTTCGCCACTTTACGTCTTCACCCAAGATAGGTAGGTACCTAAGGTTTACCGCACCTTTAGAGTAAGGTAAATGCAACACCATCTTGATATCTTCACGATACTTGACTCCCGAACTATAACGTCCCTTTTAACATGGGTAGGTACTCCCCGAAACCGCTCCACCAAGGTTTATTTAGTCGTATTCTTATACAGTAAGTGCATAGGAAAATCCAGATGCGCCTGAATTAGGCTCGACGTAGTTCCCAGATATCTTCTATCCTGCTCTGGAGGATTCGTGCTAAGGCACTTGAAGTCATGTATGTAATTCACGTCACGTGACTTTGGTTTTAAAGCTTTTGGTACCTATGTAGATGACCACTTCCATGCCCTCCCAATAGATGGGATCTGTTCGACGGGATTTTTAGCAAAGGCTTCTTAAGGTAGACTCAAGGGTGTTGTATGGGAAGGGGATCATTCGCAGAGGAACCTATAAATTACGTACACTCCCATAACTCGGCGTTCTTCTTATTGCATCCTTTGACGCCCCACTTAATCTTATCTCCGTTGCCGTAGCGGTGCGGGTCTCCGCTTCCGGTATGGTGATCATGGGGAGGGAAGCCGGCAGCTTTGGCTTGGGCTCTTTTCTTTGGGTTTGCATGTAACACGTGTAGCCGTGCGAGCTTCAAGGTATTGACCCTCGGAAACAACGCCATCAGGTGCTATTCTAAGGATTATTGGGATGTACCTTGCCCTTCAATTGCATTCATCTTTTCAACGGCTGTGGTAGCCATCGCGCGAGCCCGTGAATCAACTCTCTCATCGCCAGCAGCAAGTTCGAATTGCGCTTTCCATATATTCCAATTCTGCATGCTCCACGTGTCTCGAGGGTTCTCCTTATCCACCTCCTCTTTCTTCTTGCACTGTTCATAAACGTAGCGTAACTCGTCAGGCCGTATGATCCATTGTGCCGCGCCTTGAATGTGACCTCCAATTTGTTCAGGCTTGGAGGCTATGCGGACGTTGAAGCTGGGACATTTTTTGCCGTAGGGCATAATATCCCGCAGCGCGCTGTTGAATCCGCAATCGCTAAAGCCCGTCATGGCGATGCGCGCCAGAGCAGACTGGTAATTACGCCAGCGGGCCTCTGCCTCGCTACCTGGAGTGTCAATTCCCGAGCCCGGGTATCTAATAGCTGTAGGTATGCCATGTGTTAACAGTAAAGTTCGGTAGAATAGCCGAGTAAGCACGAACCATCTGCTCCGATACGAAGTTCCTCTGTTGAATAACTCTTGTCTGACCACAGCGACATCATTTGGACATCCTTGAGTGCATCATCGTCTAAATAGTAATCAGGGGCCTGGTGCTCAGGCATGGCCATCAAGGCTTCAAGAAACTGAACAATCCTGGTCTGCCCCGCGTGGTAAGGCGGGAAAACAGAACACAGATTGGGGAAAAATTGGAAAAAGCGATCAACATATCCGCTGGCGTTTGGTCCGCTATGGCGAAGTACACGACCAGCATCGTCTGTCTTTATGAAGCTCGGTCGCTCCCGGAGTATCTGCAGCTTGCGTGATGATTCCTGTACAACCCAGGTGTCAAGCTCGGTAGCGACCCAGGATGGGGTTTGGGAGCCATCAACCAGAGCTCTCAACAAACCCCAGCAGAATCGATCTTCGACATCTTTATCGTCGTACAAGTCTAAGATAAGTGGCAGTGGCTCGCTTTGTTCGGTAGCCATGGCTGGTAGTGCGAGATACATTTCCTTGGGCAATAGTAATAAGGGCCTAGATCGTTTGGCTTGAACGATTACGAACGAGATGAGAGTGACCCGCTGCGATGTGATGTTTGTAAGTACTTGGTAGGATGTGTTCTGGCCATCTAATATAAAAATAACTGTCTAAAATAGTAATAACATAACATAATTAGTCCTAGATGTTAGTCCCAATATTCAAACAATCCATATACGAAGATAAGCCAATGAGATCTACAAGCCAACGCCTTAATAGGTAACAAAGTAAGACACCGGATATCGCGTTGGTTTTTTTTGTTAAATGGGTAACCCCGCATTCTAGGGCTATCTTATTTATATACGAAGAGGTGTCATCTTGCGGAAAAGCAATGGTTACCTAACTTACGTCAAGTACCTAAGATTAGGTAGACACGTCGGCGCAATGTGTAACTGAAAATTGTAGCCTTTACTCGGAAGCCATAGGAAGAAAAATAAGAAAAACAAAAGAACCCGATGAACTAATGTTGTTCCTCCCCGTGTAACGTGTAACGAGTTTGTAAGCATAGCCTACATGTAGTTAACTGGTGGAAGCACTCCGCGCCTCACCGTACACCCTATTGACGAGTAACGTTGGTACACGGATACTGGCCGAATTCAGTCCTCCCAACCCTTGAACGCCGTGCTAACTATCACTAGCTCCGACGGCTTCGCCTAGAATAAGATTTAATTCCATCTCCATCCTCTGGGGTCCATTTAGAGTCTACTGCTAATCAACCTAAATGGGGAGAAATGAAGTTTGATCACCCTTAGGATGCTTAAAGACCGTATGCACTTGGTTGAGAAAGGTAGGATCGATATCAAAGGAATCGATATATAGAGTGATGCACTAATAACTCCACGTAAATATGAACTACTCTATCCATAGCCATGACTGTTTAGTTGTAGCTATCAATTTTCTTTTCCTCCCCTTCCCCTTCCCCTTACCCCTGACTAAGAACTCTATGACAAAGTACCGATATAGAAACTGATGAGGATAGGAGAACAACGATAAATATATGTGGATACCCTGCCGTTCAAACTATCTGAAAGTCGCGGCTTGGAAGCTTTTCAATCCGTTCCTCCATCTGGTCCTGACTTTCGTTCACGGCTGCTCGTGAAACAATCCGGTGCTGTTGTACGGCTTGCGCCTTGCCAACTTGGTGTTCTGCCTCCCTGAGGATATAGTACACCGGCGACATGTGGAACAGGCACAATTTATCGCCTTCTTTGATATTAGGCGCCGTAGCAATCCCTATGAGCCATCCATCTGTGATAAAGAACTCCTTTCCGGCAAGTTCTCGAAATTCGAATTCCCGATCCGCAGATTCCTCATCCAGAAATGGTCGCGCCTTGCGAAGGAGTCTCCCTGGTCTATCGCTATGTTTTAAGGTGAATAAGTCAAAGACTTGTACAGGCAATATGTTACTATAGTAGTTCTTATAGTCCTGCTGAGTCTGTGTAGAAACATCTTTATAATCATCGGAAGGGTTCAAGTCGGGACTAAGGCCTCCTTCTTGGATCATATGACCTTCCTCAAATAGTTCAGGGCGTTCTTTTTGTAAATATATCATGTGCTCCATCATACCGAGTATTTTATTCGGATGTCCTTCCAAAATATCGAACGTGAATTCAATGAGTTTATCCGTCCAATCAGGGCCACTGAAGTCTGGTATTATACCCGTCCTGCAAATGACATCTATCTCCACTCCGGAACAAAATAGAATCGTCGGAGTGGCAAAGCAACTGGTTGTTGTGGGAGCTTTGCTGTCTTTGTTTAAATCTTTACATGCAGGCTGCCAATTTCTTCTGTCTGAAAGATATCCACCAAGTGTCACTTTCTGTACGTCTCTGTCTTGTCGAAGTGTTGCATCAGAATACTCAAAGTCGTGAACCCAAGACGGAACATCAGAGGAGCTCGGCTTTGATTCAATTAGGAGTTTGAATCTTGTTGACATAACCTGTGTTACAACAGATGAGTTGTAGCAGCGTGCCGTCACGCGTCGAAATACGTCTTCAACAGACTCGTTGTAGTCCACATAGATCAGCCGGCCTAGGCTATTGGGTAACAAGGATTCCAACGCAAAAATCTTATCCCGAGGATTTGTTGCTCGATATCTGTCTGTTTCACAAAGGAGGGCATCAAGTGACCTATCAGTGGGAATTTCCCAGTCGTAAGTCTTTTCTTGGCCCGGTCGGAGATGCTGTAATACTGGCTCTCGGCGGCGACCTATCCAATAGGCCATTTGCTGTCGGTAGGCTAACAGGAGAAACCTAGTATCTATGATATAGGAAATCTTAGCACTTATTCCGTATAGACCCAATTCTATGATTCATCAAAGAATAATTAGGGGGGTTATAATGTAAGTGAACTTACCAGATGGTAGATCGTCTGCTTTGTCTATGAATTCTGAGGGTCCATCAAACGCGAAGCCAGGCAAAGCGTGGAGGGTTGTTAATGCGGCTGTTAAGTCTCCGAATGAAAAGGTATGACCTTGGAATAGAATACATGGATGCTCTGGAGGAAGAGCAGCCTCTTGTATAGTCCACACCCTTTCCCACCATTCTTGTGACATGATTACATTTATACAATGAATAAACATGGTTATTAGCGCCCAGCCCTTCTTGCCAGCCTCATTAGCTGATCTCAAAACTAATATCGATCTATGGAATTCTTCAAGGATTCCAACAAGGTCATATTGGTCTATAGTGTTTCCCATGAAGTTTCGTGGGAGGGGAGCGAGGACATCATCTGGGCTGTTGGAAATACCTAGTTGGGAGTTTTGGGCTAACTGTTCCTCTAATGTTCGACCGGACAACCAGATAGTAGTTTTTTTCGCTTTAGAGTAGATATCACGCATGAGGCGGACTTGGTGCACTTTCTCGTCTGAATCCGACTGGTTTATACATATCGCATCGATCCAAATCTCTCGTTTATTGTGCCGGTCCCGTAGGCTAGAAAGGATATTGAAGAGATTCTCGGTCACCTTGAAGGAGCACCCATCCACGTTGATAAATTTCGGAACTTGGCTTCGGCCCCAAACATATGACAAGGCCTCAGCAATCCCCTCAGTACTCAGATCACGCACCTCCAAGGAGCATTCAATTGGGCTTCCTTCCGGTCCAGGAAGAATATGGAGAATACGAACCCGGTCAGGTAATATGTTCCCATCAGTTGTGCGCAGAGAAGAGTGAAAATACTGTAAAACACAGTCTTCTGGCTTCCTCACTATCCCATGGTCCTGAGGTATAAATGGTTGTCGCTCTATTTTTTTCGACTTCTTGTCACACGGATAACATGGCTGAGACCTGTTGGTTAGAATACGGATGCAGCCAAGAGTCAGTAAGGCGGTTAGGATAGCTATTTTCAGAATTATTGGATGACATGCATCACAAGACGATGCGAGGCAATGCAAGGTAGAATGCAAGATAACCAATACACAACTGAGGGGGCGGTTAGGTACGGAGTTATATCTTCTAGAATTGTCTACAAAAAGTGTCCTGATCTCTTCAGACTGAGATAGAGAGATTATTAAGGACCTTGAGACCTTAGAAAATTATTAGTAAATTGAATTCGTTCCAAGCCTTGAATACAGACCTTGTTACACTTTTCCTCTAGAGAACGTAAAAGTCTGATGTGGGTAGGTATGTCGTATGAAGCTGGAACCTGGTCCCTCGAGATATTAATGTGAAGCACGTTCAAAATTTCGTAAATGGCTGAACGGACGATTTGGAAGAGAGCATGTGCTGAATGTCGGTGGCCTGACCGTATTTCCTCTAGATCCTTCGATAATCTCTCGGGAGGGTTGTTCTGTGCGGCACGGGCTCTTAGGTACTTGCCGAACGTATATAATAGGTCGAGCTCATCGAACTTAAACATGCTGATAGATTCTTCGAGGAAACGAAACCGGCTATCCTGTTTGCAAAGATCGATTATGATGCTTTCGGCCTCCTGTAATGACTCAACCAACTCTTTGTGCAGCCTCATCTCCCAGTAGAATTCTGTATGAATCGACGTCTCTGGTTCCATTTCTAGAGTGTCTATCGTTTCTTAGGTCTCTATTGATGTTACTGCTGGAATCTCGGCCACGATTTCTTAAGTCTCCGTTGGCGTTGTCGTCCGGGTTTCCGATATTGAGTGATTCGGAGTCTCTGAATAACCTACTTTTTTTATATAAATGTGCCCAAGAACTAAACTAAGGATATAGGTAAGCCCTGAAGCAACATCACACCTCGGGATCCAATATGGATCACGAGAATTTTAGGCACCTAATTCCGGTTTGCATATCCCGTTGAGCCTCTCAGGCCGCATGTGTTGAGATGCGAATGCTATCTTGCCTTAGGTATCCTAAGCGAAAGCCATACCCTACCTCCCTTAAAAATCAGCCTAAGTGATGCCTAATTCCATGCATAGTATATCCAATAGACGCTCAAATAGCCATGCCAACGGATTATCGCCTCAAGACGAGTTTCCGAAGTAGCCATAGTCGACTAATAACTGGTTTATAATTACTCGGCTAGTAATTGCATGCATATGCAAGTTCAGCTGGAGAGCGCAGATAAGCCATGGACCAAAGTCAGCCGCTGCAGCACAGCCTGCATATAAAGTGCTTAGCAAAGCGGGATATGGCTCACATCCCCGAGCCTTACGACATTTATTGTGTCGGGCAGATAGATTTGGATTAAGGCTTCAAAGGGGGTCTCGTGTCAATAATTTCTTGTCATGGTACTCGTCAGGATGCATGCTGGTCTGGCGACTCAGGACTGTTGCATTACTGATCATAGGTATTGACTACTGAACCCGCGGCACTAACTACCTACCTAGGTAGTTAATATTAGGGTCATTGTGATATTTGGCAAACAGCCTTTTAGTGAGGCATTAGATATACATAAAATAATACCACTCCTTATAGGTACTTTATACGCGCCCTCGGGGCTATGATCGTCAATATTGTCGTAGTCCACCGATAGTCCAGTACTCGTATAATATATTTGTGATGTGTTTGAGTCCGCGTATAGGGAAGCTTAGCCCATAATAATCATTTCAGTCCGATGTTGGGCCCCTATGGTTTATCCAGACGCCGTGCCTGGTCCCATACACCATATCTATGTTATCGAAATAGTAGTTGTACTACGTAACTACCTATGTTAACGTGATCCTCTTTCCAAATGAACAAAAGGCATAGAAACGATTTCGTTACCTCACCAATACCAATGCCCAATGCTTGATGCTTGATAACGACACAATTCCGGACACATTTTCATCCATCGAAGTCGTTGCATGCTTTCCATGCAAGCTACAACGTCGACATCTCATAGGTAAAGCTGATTATGTAATCTTCAATCTTGTCATCCCGACTTAAGATGTGGCTGTGGAAGTATCCAGATGTGGCGAGTGCCCTAGGTATACATACCTAGGTACATAGGTACATAGCTTACGCCTTACCTATCATAGGTACTGTGATTGGCCAGCCTCGCTTCTGCCAAGCTTTCTGGTTGCGTTAGTGGTATACCCTGCATCCCGGGGCTCCACTTAACTTCAAGCTCCAAACTTTATCTTCCCTTCCCGTGCCCAGACCGTTGGAAATTTCGCCTCCCAAACACAACAACAACCAGCCGATCGATCAATCGTCGCCCATCATCGTCGAAGAAACGCGACAATTCAAATAATCCTAGCCATCTCCGATAATCAAATACCGATTCTCCCCATCAATCCCATCAATCAATTCGAACAAAACAAAAAAACAAATCAAGTCAACACATCAAAAATGGCCAACTTCCTCGCCTCCATCTTCGGCACCGAACAAGACAAAGTCAACTGCTCCTTCTACTACAAGATCGGCGCCTGCCGCCACGGCGACCGCTGCAGCAGAAAACACGTCAAGCCCTCGTACTCGCAGACCATCCTGCTGCCCTCGCTGTACCAGAACCCCGCGCACGACGCCCGCGCCCGCCTGACGCCCGAGCAGTGCGCGAACCACTTCGACGCCTTCTACGAGGACCTGTGGTGCGAGCTGTGCCGGTACGGCGAGCTCGAGGAGCTCGTCGTCTGCGACAACACCAACGACCACCTCGTCGGCAACGTCTACGCCCGCTTCAAGTACGAGGACTCGGCCCAGCGCGCCTGCGACGAGCTCAACTCCCGCTGGTACGCCGGCCGCCCCGTCTACTGCGAGCTCAGCCCCGTCACCGACTTCCGCGAGGCCTGCTGCCGCCTCAACTCGGGCGAGGGCTGCGTCCGCGGCGGCTTCTGCAACTTCATCCACCGCAAGAACCCCTCCCCCGAGCTCGAGCGCGACCTCACCCTCTCCACCAAGAAGTGGCTCAAGATGAGGGGCCGCGACGAGAAGAGCGTCAGTCGTAGCCCGAGCCCCGAGCCCACGCGGAAGCGGTATTAAGTTAAGGGCGGGATGATGATATTGTATTATTACTTACTAGGTTAGGGGGCGTCTCGAGACTGGGATTCTTATGAGAGAGAGAGAGCGAAGTTGGTACCCGATGAAGATGAGGAAAGGGACAAGGCAGCACGAGCGCGAGCGCGGTCTATTTATTAATACTAGGAGAGGTGATACAAGACGGAGGCAAAGCAAGCAAGCAAGCATTTACGAAGCACGCTCGTGCGAGAAATACGTAGGATTCGGGATAGATACCCTTGGACCGGTTCGTCTCTCAATCTTCGCGTTGACGCTACTTCACTTTATTAGGAAAATATATGCTGAGTGAGTAAATAGGCTTGTTCTCAATTACACGTGAAACGGCATCATTTGCCTAGCTACGGTTTCCCGATCCTCGGACGAGTATGGTACTTAAGGGGAAATGGGGAGAAGGGCTCAGATTAAATATGTAAAATACTCGACTCGTTAGCAGGCCGAGAAGGGTTAAATCAGACAATATGTCTATCACAAATCAAATCCACGTAACTTATCAACTTCATTAAACAGCGTCTCCTTTTCCTCCATGCTATATCTGCCTGTCTACTAGCTCTAAACCCAGTGGTTTGTCTTGTCCCGCCCCGCCCTATTGCCAGGAAGCAAGATACCTACATATGCAGCATGCTCCAACCCAACAACCACCCAATAACCAAAACAGCCAATCATTGAATAATCATATAACTCGGCTCGTGAACCCTCTATCCCGCAGCCAAAAATAGCTCGATCCAGGCGAAGCGAAGTAGGGAGCTCCGAAGCAACGGGTGGATAATCGCGAGGGCACAGCATTGGTGTTTCCTCGGCTTCCCCCTGAACTATACGCGCTGTACCAACACAGTCGACCAATCACCCTTCGGCATCGAAGAACGTATTATTGCTGTCTGACGTATCCTCCTTCCTCAGGTTACTCTTGGCCGGGGGTAAGTCGTTTTTCAAGTCGCTTGTGAAATCGAGTAGCGGGCCGTCCTCCGCTTTACGACCGGTCGACTGCAGCATCGTAGCGATTTCCTTACTATCCGTCTTAGCGAGCGGCGGTGAGGTGGGAGCATTATTCGTTGTCTGGGCTTGCGTATTAGTATCGTTCTGGCCAAAGTCGATCAGGTCCTGCGTCTGGTCTTGGGGTGCCTGTTTCTCGGCCGCTTGAGGGTGCGGGTGTCCGCCCGGTGGGATTATGTTCCAGTCCTTAGACCTTTGTCCGGGTATAACTGGGTATATCGACATGATCTGCTCGGCTTGCTTCTCGGGTGTTGTGGCGTCGCTAGATCTGGGGTTAGTAGAGATACCTCGAAAGGGCCGTCAGCTATGGGGACGCCACGCACATATGAGCGTTGATAATCCATTCTAAATGATCCATGTCCTCGCCCGTGCCGCCGTAGTCTTTGTCTACCCGCCGGAATAATCGCGGATGCCATTCTACACCTGCGGCGGCCCTCTTCGCCGCTTCTTCTCTCTGCCGGTCCTCGACTTTGGTCTTTTCGTCCGTCGCCAACTCGTGATTCCTGTCCTTTACCGCCTGCGCTGTTTTGTACCATAATTTTTGCGACTCTCGCTCGTCCTGTTCATCGAGCGGTCGAACGCGTGGCTTCGAAGGTTTTACTTTTCGGGCGTCGAAGAACATATCCTTATGTCCATTCTATGCACCGTTAGATAGCGACAAGGCATCACTTTTACGGGTTACCCACCCTAAGATCTTTGACGAACATCTCTTCGCTCCATAAACCAGATAGTTCGAAGAGCACTTGTCCGGTCTTCTCGTCTTTTATCGTGCCGCCAATCGCATTGTACGTACCGCTGACCCATCCCTTCGTTTTAAAGTCGACATCGGCTATGAGGCCTAGCTCGGGACACCGCACCACGCTGTGGTCACCTAATTCGTATTTCATGTTGCCGAACAGGATTCCTCTCGCGTACATATTGGGTTGTGTTAACCAGCTAGAGATATTTTTAGTTCATATTTCGTGCGAAAAGCTCGCAGAGCCCACGTACTATCTTTCCCCTTGCTTTGGATTTTTGCCCCTATTCATCAGGGTAAGCACGGCGATTCCTTCCATAAGACTCGCGGCCGAATTGCCCAGGAACTTGCTCCTAGGCTTTAGAGTACCGTCGATACGGATATGGTGCTCGGGGGCCATGTAAAAATAGCTCGACTTGGGGGGGTGATGCGATGTCTGCTCAGAGATATAGTAGGCGCGGGTATTGTCAGGCAGGTCCCAATAGCACGAGAAGATTTCGCCGAGGATCGGGTTGAGAGGCTTTTTGACTCCCCTATTTTCGTATGTTAGTAAATGGGGTAGACCTAGGGGTAGAAGCTGGGGGAGCTGTACGGTGGTCTAATATGCCATCCGCTGAGGTAAAATTTGACGACGGAGACGAAACGTTGGACCGGATCTTCGATGTGGGGGATAGGGAGGAGCATTTCCGGATGGCACATGAAGCTATAGTTTTCTAACGTTAGCCTCCGTACGGTAGACTATGACTATAATATAATATTTATAAAATAATATTTTTAGAGTACGCACTTGGTGATCCGCTCTAACATACTTCGGGGCTCGAGAATGAACGTAGGCAGAACAACTCGGCTTAGATCAGCGCCGGGTCGTAGTTGCGAGATAATATGTGTTAAGACTGCCCAAGCCGTTCCGTTAGCCGTGATAAATACCAACAACATATAGAATAGTCGGGACCTACCGTTGCCCTGCTCGGGCTCTATAATGGAGGTATCATCGTCATCGACGACGCCATCCCCGGACGACCTACTACCTGTGTGCGGCGGCATATGTGTCAGCGATCCAGTATGCCTAACAGACAGCAGAATATAATATCCGGCAAAGAATAGGGGTGCAATGCGCCAATAAGCGAATGCAGTCCGAAGTCGCAATACGTAAGGTAGTTTAGAAGAAGCAGAAAAAAAAACCGGTTACATACTAGCATTCGACTGCGTCCGGCGACGAAGGGCCAGACCCGACGCGATCTTTCCCGCGTGCATTTCCCTTTATATCGGGTGCGCCTAATAATAAGGGAGGGGAGGGGGAATAACCTTCAAGAAGCTTTTTGCCCGCAATAAATGTTGCAGGTAAAAGGTTGTCGAACAATATCGACAAAAGGGCTGGAAGGGTCGCAACTTGTCTGCCCTAAGGTCTAAGGTCCTAGGTCCTAGGCGGGCTGTGTACTTCTATAGTGAATGGTATGTACCCCTCCCACGCTGGAGAGGGCTGTCGGGTTTGTTATCGATTAAGGATCCTTGAACGTATAGGTACTTAAACCTACCCCTAAAGCACAGGGGGTTGACCGATGACCTCACTAACACGAGCAAGGTACGAAGTAGAATACTATGTAGGAAAAATAAATTACGAGGGAGAGTTTTTACATGGCAATGCAGAAGAGAGAACAGATATTATCAAGCTAATAAGCTACATAGTAATATGTAGCAGCCTAGTTTGAACATTGCACAAATAACAATGCCTGATTTGTGAACGAACAAGGGATGGGTGAGCAATTCTGTCATGGATAGAATGCATCTAGGTACCTAATGTATGCATTCAGCTCGCATTAGTGACTAGTGAACTGACTGCAGCGTTTGCACATTGTGTGATTACGTAGTGGGCTTCGCGAAAAGTATCCACTAAGTTGGAGGCCACGAGGATCAGGGGGGAAACGATGACGTACGTCAATTGGGTGAGTTATCATTTATCTACTTCGGACTTCGGCTGAGACTAGGCATCTACTGTGAATATGTAAGCAAGTCCCTATGATATTTCTTTTACAAGCAGACTCGAGTATAAAGCTAAGAGGGTCGGACTTTGATAAAAATTCAAGGTTTTCTTTCTATCGAGGTTCCATTGTCTTCTTCAACAACCAAAGTCTAGATGCAAAGGCCGATTTGCCATCGTGTTTCCTTGCGCCTCTCGGGAAGCACCTCTTGTGCTCGAATAACCGCAGGGGCAGAGGGGGTATCTTGACATAGCATTACCTCTACAGGGCTCAACGCCCTTCCGGTGCAAATTTATGCAGACCATCTGCATGAATCATGTTCTCGTTCAATCATCGTGCCCAACTCCATCATTTTCCCCTACTAAGGCGCGACCCCTTGACCGGCGCGGGAAGAACCGAACAAAGTCTATCTCTTTCTGTATAATCGTTAGTTCCTAAAATAAAACAAGTTCAAGACGTGATAAATAAAGCTTACCAAAACTATCCTCGAATAATATCGTTATGTCATCATGTTCGCCAGCAAAATCGGGCATGTCCAGACACAGGAATGCCATCTCATCCGTCTTGTCACCGCCTTCATGCGGAGTCTTCGGCAGCGGGAACTTGGCGTCAGCTAGTTTTAAGCCCGCTTTCCCATTTCGGTTGAACGACTCGAACACGTCGGTTCCCTTGAGTATGAACCCCATGCATTGTCCGTGGGACCAATCTTCGAAAAATGCTAGTAGTTGAACCGTCTTTTCTTGCTGCACCACCTGAACTCGCGTAGTGCCAGCCTCCCATTTCTTGTGAATGGGTACCACCATCCTTCGCCGCGAGATGTTCAGGCTCGCAGCGATACCGTCGAAGAGTACCGAGTATCCCGTGAGCCCCGCTTGGAATGCATGCAAGTCCCGGAAGCTCGGAAACCTGTAGGTACGTACTGTTGGCCCACGCTGGATGGTATTCTGCAAGCCCTGAAATTCGCGATGCGATTCTCGAGGTACAAGGCTCTCTAGTATGGAAACCGTTAGATCGACCTGCGCGTGCCGTAGAACCTGTAGTGTCAGAATATCTTTAGTGCCGAGCCTGAGCTTCAGCTCGCCAGGCGCAACATTGACTCGGTCCGTAATGGTGCTGACCACGCCAACTCCGCCTTTATCTAACGATTCGATTTCAACCCGGAGCTTCTCCGCCAATACCGTAGGCGGGACTTCTGAATATTTGTCGTTGATGATACGAGCACGCTGCCAAGGCAGGCGCTGGATAGCCGGAAGGCCTCCTTTCGTATCACCGACGCCGTCCGATATGTTCATGCCCTCTAATGGGACTTCCGTAATAACCTCCTCATCCTCGTTGACATACGTCCCTGTAATCATTTTCAATACCATCTCGCGCTCTCGATCATCGTCGAACGTCAAAACCATCCGCCCTTTGTCCTTCCCGTCGTTGAAATCCAGTTGGAGGACCGGCGCGCGCTGCTCACCCCGTAACAAGGCGAATTTGACAGGAAGTTGTGGCGAGAACAAATGAGTTACTCCGCTCAGCGTCCTTATTCTCGGCCCGGTGACAACGGCGAGTCGGAAACCCCGGTGGAAGGTCCTGGGTCCGGTCGGACTATTCTCCTTGAGGAGCTTCTCGAACAACCCTATAGAGCATTGTCCTATAGGCTCCTTAGGGAATGTCCTTCCTTGAGGGTTAGCATCGAAATAGTGAAAGCCGCGAAGGACAGTAGTATGCTTCACGACTTCGTCTTTTCGTTGGTATAAATAAGATTGGACTTTGGAGCTGAAGTCGTACATGCTCCATAGCATCCGGTAGTCTTGCTGCGAGCATTCGATGGCGAGCATAAAGCCTCGGGGCAACTTGACGTCTAGCTGGTGAGAATCTGGTCTCCATTTAACATCTTGCCACGTTAGGCCTGCGTTCTTGTCTGTCTGTATGCGCAACGAAACGGAGCAGTTTTGACTAGCGATGACGAAGTTGAGGTTTGGGTCGTTCTGCGACCGAACGACAGACAACATACAAGGGAAACAAGCCTGTCTCGAGTCCGTACCCTGTTCCATGAAGTATACGTTGGTCATCACGCGGCCAAAAACAAAGTATTTAGTAGTATCGCCAATCGGGAGGGCTTCTAGCGCCTCCATAGAACGAGTTGGCTGATTTACGACGGCAACAGCCGACCCCCAAACTCCATTGAGAAGGGCAACTATATCTTGGCTCACAGCCGGATATTCTACCCAGATAGATTTGTCCATCGTTTGCGGGAGGAAAGGCTCCTCGGGCGGTAGGAAACCATTTCGCTTCATAGACCCAGATAGTTTCCTCAAGTTAGATATCAAAACCTGCCTAACCTCGCCCAACTCGCCATCTACGGGGCTATACTTGCCTTCCGCAATCTCGGGAAGGGCTTGCTCTAATAGCCAGTACCCCTTTGCCAAGTCCGTATAGGCTTGGTACCTGGCCATGAGAAGGCGAGGCTCGTCGGGGTCTGCTGGACGACTTCTAATAATCGTCTCCAGAGCTGTTCTCCCCTTCAGGAACCACCACAGGGCTGCTCGGCACATATCATCGGGCCGGGAGGTGCCTAGGGGCCTATATTGCTCCGCGTGCAGACGGAACAACTCGTACAAGTGCTTCGTACGAACAATAAATAGTTCTAGCGCGTCGACGTCAGGTGGCGAAACTACCGCTTCCTGAAGCCTGCGGGCAGTTTTTTCGGGAGAAGGTGGGAATCCGCGCGAAGGATTCCGCGTAATCGGTGTTGCCTTGTGAGAGACATCGGGAGTCGAATGAACGGAATTTGAATACAGAGACGTAGGACTGTCAGCGGTGTGGGTTGTTTTGACGCGTACTTCGTCGGGTGACACTGGTCGTTGTGACATAGTGGGTACTATGTTCATGTCGAAGTCCGGTAGTGCATCATGAGTAGGTAAAGGGGGTAAAGGCGACCTATTAGAGGAAGACGGGATTTGTGGTAGAGGTAGGTCATGGTAAGGGGGTGCTGGTGATACGGTGGAAGGGTTTTTCGCTGCTGCTTGCGGTATGGGTGAAGGCCGCAAGGGAGATCTCGTGGATTGAGTTCTTAATACCGAAGAGATGGAATCCTGCAGCGAAGGCGATACCGAAGACTGGTCCCGGTGAGACATGGATCTTTCCGGAGGTGGCGTCGGCTCCTGCATGGTCGGTACCTGAATTTGCTTGAGGCGCGGCGGCGAATTTCGGACCGGCTCGGGGGAGGAAGTCAGATCGTCCCATTGGTGGTGAGAGTTGGCGCTAGCAGATCGCATTGCTTCTGCAAACGCCATTCCTTCAGCCTGCCGTTGCTCCTGCTGGTGGATCTCGATAAACGAGCGGCGGTTTTCATCCTTCTGGCTGCTAGCACCTAAGAAGCGGGACTTTCCTTCGCCCGCCGGGACGGCACGAGGCTTAGGCGGCGGCGGACTGGAAATAGGGGCAGGCCCCGGCTCCTCCAACCGGAAATCTGAGATGGTAGAAAAGCCCGTCTGGGTCCGACGTATAGGGCCGGGTATAAATTCATCTTCCTTCTTCTGTACTTCTTGAAACGCCCCGGCTTGCCTAGCATATTCGTGACCTTCTTTTGTAGGCGGTATCGGCGCCGAAATTGGTGCAGATTTAGATCTCTTCCTCCTGCCGATCTCGGCAACGATGGTCTCGCACTCGTCACCTCCTTCGCCAATGATCTCGGGATAATTATCGGCGAACCGCACGACGAGTCCTTTATTTTTCTTGGGTCGGGAAGGGCTGCGTGATCGTGCCCGCTGCTTAGATTCATTCTCAACCCCTAGAGTTTGTGGGAATCGGCTAACTTTAGACGTATCAAGAGCCAGAGATGGTGGGCCCCTGGGAAAGGTTGACGGTGGCTGAGGAACAGGGTGAGAAACGGTCAGCCGGTCTGAGTGACCAAGAAAGTCGGATATTTCGTTTGCACTCTCTTCGTTGGACAATTTCTTGTCCTTACCCGTACTGCTGCTGCCAAATAGCTTCCCCATTATACGATCCCGTCGTCGGGAGCCTTCGTTATGTGCATCGTTCTCCATCGTCGGCCGTGATTTCGCGGGGTATACCAACATGTGCCTAGATAAACCATCAATTTGCCGTGGTCCTGGCGTGTAATCGCTAAGTAATCGTCGAGACTATCGTGAAGCCAAGTAATATTTACTAGGAAGGATAAAAATAAGCTAATTGATAAGACGAATGGCTTGGTGGTGTCGCGTGTTCGTCGAATGTATCGAATATAATAGTAATGGCTGCAATGGCTGTAATGGCTGTAGTGGCTGTAATGGCTGCAAATGGAGGGTTGTGTTTGTTTACTTGTGTGCCCAGTTTCCACCCAACGGGCTCTCGAAAGCGAGATTGTGATGTTATTTAGTTTGGCTGTGATCGTCGTCCACCAAGGACCAAGGGGGTGAATAATGATACAGCGTAGTAGTACAGTAGTACAGAGGCGCGCACAAGCAGGCGGCCAGCCAGACGGTTAGTTCGTCCTTATTACCCACTATAAATCTACCAAAGAACATTGAAGCCAAAGAAGGTGGCGGTGGAATGCGACAAGACTGTCAAAGTGATGCCGAGGTGAATTGGACAATAGACAAGAATAGACAAGAAAGTAAGGGAAGAAAAGGAAGTTGGATTCAATATATTTTGTTTGGTCGGGATTGTATGAATAGGTAATAGTATGTCGTGTGTCACCCGTCGCTTTCTACCCTTTCGTTTTATTTCTGGGGGTGAAAGTTCAAGTTCGAGTATTCGTACCTCTACGTACATAATGTACATACATAATGTACATGTACTGAGGTAGTTGGTTGGTACCTCGAACTATACCAGGTAATTGCCTGTAATTGCCTGCTCCTGCCGCTACTTGGTGCGCATGTGCTGAATTGGTCGTGCAGATCGGCCAAGTTTCAGGTACACATACAACTCACTGGGTCCGGGACTAAGGCGAAACCCGCATCTTTCAAAGGTCCGACGTCCCAGTCCTCGACACGTGCATATATCTTAAAAAGTTGGAGCTGTTTTCGATTATCTAAAATGAGATTGTGATAATATAATATTAAGTACTATAACCGTACTTTAGTCCAATACCTGTAACTCACAACCGGATAAGATGTTTAAATTAGGTACTCCTTGCTTTATCAATGATACGGTGCGTACATGATATAACAAGCTTATCGCAGTTGCGCAATAAGATTTATACATTAGGTACATGTATGAATTACCTAAGTTGTAGTGTATGCATCTTGGTTGCACCAGGCGGAGCAACTTGAATTAGGACGAATTAAAAGAGACCCTGACTTTCGGGTGGACCCTTAGCTAGTGTGGCGCCCGCCTACATGCATACCAGGGGACCACCCTCCTGGGCTATTCTTGGCGTCGCCGTTACGAGGCCACTAAAAGGAGATGCTGGGTATAATACGTATCGTACGCATCTTCATGTGCTCGTACGCAACTCTTAGCCCGTGAGGCTCATCACGATATTCTCCCCTTTCTAAAATTGGTATATTATATGATACGAATCTCTTTGTAAATAGCACGTCTTAAGCGCACCTCAGCAGCTCTACAGGCGCATAGCCGCGGGTCTAGATTGCTATGCTTCCTCGGCTGCCACTGACATTTATATTGTGGATTCTAAAATATCCTAGGAGGTCCCTAATATTTAGTAATAGCCTATTCTCTTAAATCAAGACCCCTGATTTTTACCATATGCTTGTCCTTACTAATATATCTCCCGTTTGACACATCTTGCTCGTATCATTAAGCTATATTAATTTGCTCTGAGGTGAACATCGTGAATTACCAGTCTAGGTACTTTGTACATCGCCTGTACATTGATATAAAAAGATATGCTTAGCCATGCCGGAATTCATAGGTGGTATTGAAATGTGTAAATGCCGGTCTCTGGCGAGGCTGGTTGAGCGCTTCAAATTATATGTGCGTAAGGCTACGTTGGGTTACATTCTAAATTGGGGGCTGTGAGACGGCCGATCTGATGGTGTTGGGCTGACTCGCTAGATTGGTTACGAGGCGGACCTGCAAACGTTATGGTAAATCTAGATGTGCCTACCGCGATGTGCTACATACTTTCGTAACGTCCCGTCAGCCCCTTTCTAAACGCACACCAGCGGGGCGGCGTTCGATGTCACCGGACATTTCCACTTCTTCTCGCATCCGATGTGGTCCGCGGGCGCCGTAAAGCCATATCGGGGATGGAATGCCGAGCTCGGCAATCGATTTCGACTTTCAGCCTATCTATTAGAAATCTCTACTCCGTTACAGCTCGTCTAGCCTCACCCTTGCGCATCTTTCTGAGTATGTGTATTTTCGGCTCCATCCTCGGACCAATCCACCAACCACCAGTTAGCGCTCTAACTGAATTCCTCACTCTTCTCACGAGGGCCCCTCTGCCGAATATTCTATCTTGGCCATTTTCAATGTCGCCGCCGGAGGGCGCACTCGGTTTGATTAGTTCAACTCCGGCAAAACCCTCCACTACACCGACCGTCTCCCAAGGGCCGATAGTCGAAGCCGGATCTTCGGTAAGCACGTAGTCGAACTTCTCCCAGAATGACGGGCTCCGCAAAATGTTTTCATCTTCTGTCTTATCGTAATTGAACGTCAATCTATTTGCCGGGTGCCGATCATTAGGGGGGTAAGGATGTTGCCCGAAGAGTGTTACTCCTGTCATACATGACAGTACGTCCGTATGAACCATGATGGTCTGAAGATCGGACGAGGAAGACGAGGTAACGAGACCACGAAGTTCCGAGAGCGCTTCGCCACCGGGATAATTGAGAGAAGATATAATAAGCATGGCGGTACTAAGGCCAAACGAAACAAGTACCGAGCCAACTATCGCAACGGAACTAAGTAAGAAGACGATAGACTTATTACGTCTTGCGAAGATGTAATTTGCCCCCAAAGCCGCTGCGGCTGTCAACGGTGGTGCAACATAGAATATGAAACGGGCTTCCTTGTGTGGCTGAAGAGAGTATATCGCCACGAACAGAAGGCTAGGGATCACTAGCGATTGAGCCTGTTTCCTCGTCCCAGCGTTCCAAAGCGCATAAGGAATGAGGACGGTCGAGCTCAACGGGTTCGTGAGGATCTTAGGCAAGGCCGACGTGAAATAGTAGTGCCAGGGAGAGACGCCCCATTCAGAGGAAGAGCCAAGAACGACGTTATAGTAAAATCCCCATAGTTCCGGCCACAGCGGCTTCTGCCAGAAGTAAGAGTCGATTGGTATCGTGAGTAACAACGACATAGCAAAGAAGACGATGAAGACGGGAATGATTTTTCCTAAAGAGCCTAAAGAGATATGCGAGAGAGCTAGACCATAGAGGGTGACGGCCACCATGAGAATCGCCAACTCAGACCTGAATACGGCGGTAGCTATGGTGAGATACGCAATAGCCAATTTATATCTCCAAGCCTGCAAATTTTGAGACGGGTCTCCTATTAGTTGAGAAAAGGCCAACGTCGCTATGAATCGTCAATATAAAGGACTCTCTTCAAACTCAATGACCACTTACTCAAGCCGAAAGCGAACATATTAGGCAGTGTCCTAGAAGCGTAGAACAAGATATGAAATTGGCTAAGTTGCAATAACGCATACCACCTAGCAGTCGACTTTCCATACGCCTTTTCCACCTTGGACTTAAACACCAACAGCGCTCCGGCATTGAAGAGCCCCAGAATACCTCTCACGATCAGCTGTGCGTACTGGAAGCCTACCAGCGCGATGATAGGCTGGCTGATCCCCGCTAGTAGGACTGGGCCAATAAAGGTGCGGGGAACTGCGCCAGGGAAGTCGAAGTGGTCATACTGAGATGAGAGCCGCTGATGCACGTCCTTGGTGGGCGTCCCGTACACTAAAATGTCGTGAGCGGCCTGGATGTTGAAAGACTCCTCAACTTTGGTATATGGAGCCACCAAGAGGTGTACGATTATTAAGGCAGGTATAGCCAGCGACAGAAGTAAGTCTATTGCCATGGTAAGTTGGGTATTTCGCTATTAAATACTGCGATACCAATAGGCTATAGCATACCGAGAGCCGCCATTGGTAGCTTATACGTAGAGGATGTGAGGGTGCGACGTGGGTTTTCAGAAGAGACGGCTACACCCAATGTGAAACTCAATTGATATCAATTTGGAATGAGCGCATAGGTTTAGATTGTAATTTCAAACCCCCATTTTGTTGACAGACCTGCTGTTGTACTACTTCAGTTCATCTCGTTTCGAGAAGTTCTGTGTAAGTTCTGTCTAAGGAGTATCTGTTCGAACCAAGTTACACGTGGCTGCGTGGCTGGTGTGTTGAAGCACCGCCCCAATGCTTCAATCGTGTTTACGTAAGGCAAATGGACAGTTTCCACAACCTGGCGCCGCACCGTCGACACCTGTCTTGTAAGAGGTAGGCGATTTACCTACAACCTTTGATTCATCGCCCTTTGACAGAGGCAGTCTCACGCTTCCCCAAATTCTAACACGTCGCCCAAGACTCTGGCCCGTCAAAATGATTCTCCTCGGGAACCTACTCTACGGTATAGAATCTCTCTTAGACGCCCTACCGGAAAGCAGCAGCAGCAGCTAACGCCATCATAGTCTCTATCCTCCTCATAAACGCAATCGCCATCCTGTCCGAAGACCGCTTCCTAGCACGCAGTATGCATTCATTCCCACCCACCGTACGAAACTCGTCGCTTTGTGCAATACCAATTAACACGCCTTCGTAACTACATAGTAAACCTCTCGTCCACCTCCTTCGACCCAGCATTCGGCGCCGGCCCCGACTCCCAAAGCGTAAAGGCAAAAGTCGTCAACCTAATCGCTAGCGTCCGGATGGTTATGAGAAGTACGTGCTTGGCCCCGTTTTGCGGGAGAGAAGCCGCTTTATGAGGTATCGATACTATAGGCTAACCAGCAGAGCAGTTCCTCTAATAGCGATCAACACTTTAATAATACTCTACGAGCTGGTCTTGGGTTAGAGAGGGGATATGCAAGTATGACGAGCGATGGCGGACGTATAGGGGCTTGCATTCGGTTTCAACCAGGCGTTCGGGTGTACATACACTTTGGTTTGGTGTAATATGGCTAAAATGAGATCGGCAATGTGAGACGCGCTGTCGTGCGAAGGGAGGTTTCGAGTGACAGCGACACGTCAAGTCAACACTATACAATCAAGATTCGGTCCAAGATGATGGCGATTGAAGCTCGTCTTTTTTTTCTTTTTCGTACCTCTGCTACTACAAGGGTTACGAGCTCCGGCGTCTGGCTTTATTATACAGAATATCCATCACAATGTGAGCACATCTTACGCTCACAGTGCTACTGAGAAACAGAAGCAACCTCGTTCTACAGAGTATCCAAAACGAATTTCAGCTTTGGCGCGCATCCTCCGTAAATGCTCAAGAACATTTGCATTTCTTTTGATACCCCCAGAACTCCATATATGCCATATCCCTTGCGCTAATTAGCTAGGGTACGAAGAGTAACGATACCGTCAATGATGCTCCCCTAACTCCTATGCGTTTTTACGAGAGGGTACTATGGCTTTTTCTTCGCCCAAGACTAAAGCTGAAGCTCTTCTTACGCTTGAACTGTTGCTCTGGCCTGTCGTGGCTGGGTCCCGCGCTCTCGCCGTTCTGTTTGTTTTCGGGCAAAACCTCCAGGCTATCCCGTTTTGCTTTGTCTCTATTTAAAAACCCGAAGCTCTTTCTTGACATGGATCTGCTACTCCTATCCGGCTTCTGCAGCGACGGAACGCTGTCATCTTGTTCTCTGCGACTGGCTTCGTCTTCCTCTTCATCCGTCTTTTTACTTGCCTCGACAGCTTTCTTCAATTCCTCCTGTTCGGCTTTGCGAGCTTCGCGCAACCGCGCGTCGGCCTCTTTGCGCTGCTTCCCCTTGGTTTTGAGCTCTTCCTTTTCTGCCACCCTCCGCGCCTTTTCTTGAGCTTTGGCTTCTTTCTTTTCTCGATTCCTTTCTTCTTTTGACTTTGCTTCGCCCTTGGTCGTATCCGTTCTTTCCGAAATCAGGGGGCTGGGCGGTACCGCACCGTCTAACTGGGGTAATAACGCCGGCGAAGGAGCAGCTGGATCGATGAACATATCGGGTGCCGTAGCGGCATGATCTAGAGTGGTTAACCCTTCGCGATCTTCGGGTGGTCGAACCGGCTGTGTTAGCTGCCTTGACAATCCGGAAGCTGAACCGTTCGGCTGACCATCTTCTTGAGCAACGCCGGCCTTTTCGCTGGCGATCCGGACTTCCTCGAGACCCTCCGCCTCTTGCTCGGCCCGCATCTTCTCGTAGGTCGTTTCTTGATAAAACAACACGTATGCACAAGCCATACCGGGTTTGTCCCCAAAAAAGTTTCGGACGTAGTGCTTATCGACGGGTTCGACCATCTCGTCGTCAAATAACAGCCAGCCTCGATCTTCCGTTTTGATGACCGAGACGTAATGTCCATGGTACGCGTTGCCGCCGATGTGGATGACAACGGCGTATAGTTCGTACAGCCGATCTGGGTCCTCAGCGTCCTCCGTCGTATTAAACATCCTTAAATGATACGGGTATACTACGCGATGGAACAGCTTCTGCAACCGACTATAGTCCTCCGTATACTTAAACCTTTTCAAGTGCAATGCTAGCACTTTGGGCAGGCGTTTGATCTTCATTCGCTTCTCGGCTTCTTGTAAGCCTCCGCAATGATCGCAATGAAATTTGTTCCTCTCGCAGAGCATCTCCTCCGCCGAAAATTTCTGTAAGCATGCAGTCACTGAGGTGTGCTCCTCTAAGTCAATCGACAAGTCCAAGAACGTCTCATCTCGCTGAGAAGCAGTCTCGCAGGTGAGGCATTTCGTCTCCGATGTTAACACGCCTTCGAATATATCATGCACCCAGCCTGTCCCCGGAGAATTTATACCGTTCGACGAGGTTTTGGCAATTGCCCCTAAGGCTGCTCTGAGCGATTCTTCAACACTACCGTTACTATAAGGGACCTGCTGGTTAAGTAACCGCTTAGCCGTGCTCTCGACGTTCGATATTATATCGTTTAAAACGAGCCCGTAGAATTCGTGCGCGTCCTGGTGCATCGAATTGCGAAACATCTCGTTATCGCGCTTGAAGATCTCTAGGAAGCGCTGCGGACTAAGAACCCCGGTACGAACAGTACTATCTACGAGTGTCATAAAAATATCTCGTAGGCCCGTGAACGTGCACTCATCCATCCCGTAGGTTTCGTGGCTTTCTTGTGCCAACTCTAATATAGGACCCTTCAGCATCGCTTGCTTCTTCTTATATTCGGGGGTGTCGGGTTTATCCTCTGGTCGAACCGGTTGGATTTGGCCAGAGTTAATCTGTTTCCTCTTCTCCATCGCATCAGCTACGGAACCTCTCTTCGCGTTTGCGCCTCCGTGTGCGCTTCCGTTCGCAACCGGAGCTCGGATTTGGACGTTAACCCTAGGTCGGCTTCCGTTAGGGGTATCTGAGGGTGATAATGGCGGGAACTTAAGCACCTGCTCTCGAAATGGTACGGTATAGTAGAGGGCTTGTACAATCGAGTTGCAATAGCTATGCGTCGGTCAGATCATGGTCTCTAATATACAAAATAAACGTCTCGTCTTTACCAAGTATTGCCGAACTATACAATTGAAGTTAGTGTAGCTCCAAAAACCATGGTATATATGTGCGTATATAGTAGATAAACTTACGTTCTCCATGCCGAAGAACTTGTCGCTTCCGTCTTGCCTGGGCGCGCCAGCATTCTGAAGCATCCGTTCTAACGGGGTGACCTCTAGCGGAGGCTCCTCTTTCTTCTTCGGCCCATCTTTGCCTGCCGAACTCGAGGCCGCCTAGAAACACATCAGCATGTTTAACAATCGCCTTATACGTAGCTCGAGACCCCAGAGGTGCACTTTGTTAAGTGGGCACATCCGAGTCGGCGTTAAGCTTAAGTTCGGTAACATACAGCGCCGCTGGTCTTCCATTTATTGAGAAAACTCGCCATTGCGAGCGTAGAGGCGACCGGATTGCGGTATTGCGCGAGTTCGATCGAGACAAGCCAGCGTCCGAGCGCGGCAGGGGGTTAGCGAGGACGGACGAAGTCGATGGGGATAGTCATCCGAAGGACTCTGCCTCGGCAGTAAACTGTGAGAACTCTCGGATATCAGATAACACACTAGACGATATAAGTTCGCGCTTCTTAAGCCGTATGTCCCGTGAGAGAGAAGGACGTTGGAATTGTTCGTCGTTCCGAAGTCTATATTATTCGAGGTCGCCAACTAAGGGGAGCGTCGGTAACAAGTACATACGCAAGTGTTCGAACGTCTTAAACGAGCCAACAGCTTTCTTTGTAGTTTGTGCGACAAGTAGGCGAATTGCGCGAGCAAAACTTATAAGATGACAAGTGATAATTTGCCAAGTGAGAGGGAATACGAGGTTGAAGTTGTTAAAAAGGAATTGCCAGCTAAGAAACGAAAGAGAAAGCGAGTGACTATTGCTGGTTGGATGGGAAGGGGAAGAGGATTCGATCGGGGGATAGATTTGAAGGAGCCGGAAGTATGACCGGGTTGTTGTGCCGCTGACGGTACAACCGAAGCATGCTGAACCAGCGCCACAACTTTAGCACTGGAGAGCGCTAGAGTACTTGGGAAAAAAGCCTGGAGAGCCTGGAGATTAAAAAGATGGGGTAATACCTTGACCTAAGCAGACACACATATATCTAGGGGTAACCCCCAGAAACTAGCGCTCTTTGGGCTAATACCAAGCTATTTCTCCACTCGAGACCGTGGTTTCCTTTATTCAAGTTTTCTGTATTTCTGTATTTCCGTATTTCTATACTATTTAGGTAGGAACATGTAGTTATTAACATTTCTGTTAAGCGCGTCGTGTAACTGCTGTCGTAACTTTGTCTTAACTCCAAATATCAAGTCGCGAAGCACGAAGCACAAGGCACATTTCTCATTATTGCTACTTACTACCAAACTACACAACGTGGGATGAGAATAGTATCTCGGTACAAAGATTCCCTATCTAAACCTAAACAACCCAACAAAGATAGCCTCTGCATATACATATTCCTACATTTCCCGGCCTCTCTGGCTGGTATGGGTAACAGACCTAAGGTTGGTGCCCTGGTTTCGATGTGACAGCCAGTCGGGCTTTTGACCTGGTTCCAAAAACGGCAGTTTTCCTATAATGAGATTCACCATGGCTACATGCTCACTACGCGAGGCAGCCATATTAGGTACCTGTCTACTACATATATCGCGTCTGTTTACTATTGCTAATTTACTCACTTACTCATCTTCGACTCGGGAACTTCCCATTTTTTCCCCTTTAACGACTCTCTCTGCCGCGTCGTAGGAGCTTTCAACTTGGTACTACAACCTTGAAAATCAAGACTTATCAAGCCCACGTTACCGCAATTAGCAAGCGGCGACTTTGTCAAAGTGGGGGGAACCGGGGAATCCAGTACGTACATCCATCCACGAACAGGGAGTTTCTTGGGAACCTTTTTGCAATTTATGTCTCAACAACTCCACTTACCACGCTTCTAAGCAGAGCCAAGCGTCCTCGTCGTTTGTGGTTCGACCATTCTAAAAGTTCTAGACTTGAAGGGGCAGGTGATCAACATGACCCTACTAGGGATGACTGGTCCCAATGCTTTGGATACAGACAACTTCTATTAGTTCTTCCAGCCAGCCAGCCTTCTTCCTAACTCAGGGGCGGCAACATTAAGACGAGGCGAGCAAGTACACTACATACATCGATCTCGCTATCGATGCAGAAGTGTAACGACTGCTACTATAACTGTTACAGCAATGCGGTGGACTCCCACCATCACCATCACTTATCAGCAGTACGTATGTAAGACGGTAACTTGCATCTTGCTGCCGCAAATCATATCAGGCTTCTTCTCCGCAGGCATCGGTTCCCCTGTTCACTTAGCGTGATACCAATTACCTACCTGGCTTAGGACCATGCATACTATGTATCTCTGGTCTGTCTGAATATCGACTTTTGTGGGGTTATTAGCCGCCAACAACGGTCGTGACGGACATACGGTATGCAAGCGGGCAAACTCCCAGACAAGAACGGAGATAGTTCGCCATGCTAAATCCAAACCTGGCACAAAACTTGCCAGACTTGCCAGCCTCGCCAGCCAGCGACCATCGCTCCATGACCCTGAATACGGTCCTGCAAGCGCCCACGAATGGTAAATCAGCCCCCAAAGCTGACGAATGCATTCGGCCGAATATCCCATCTCGATCGCGGGAAAACGAAGACCAGACTACAACAACATCATAATATTCCTCCGTGCGCTTACCTATCCTCCCGTAGTTGTTGTCAAGTGATGTTGGCCAACTACTAATACGAACGTCAGCCTAGAGGGCAACTGACGTGAAAAAAAGCGTGAGACGCCGCGGCTTGCTCGAGCTCTCGCAGCTGTTCTCACTAACGAACAATTGGCCTTTTGTATCACTCACGCGATCCCAGGACGATCAGCACGCAGGACAGAACCGAGAAAGCGCCGCCTTGCATCGGGAGCGAGCCAACGAGCAAACCTATCACGAGCGAGCTGCAGCCGTAAGGTGTGGTAAACGCGCAATGACGGAATGCAGCGGCGCGGGCGTCCCATAAGCCCAATCCCGCTCCGCACGGTCTAAAATTCCCCTCAAAGCCCATGTGGCAGGCCTGCAAGGGCTGACCAGCCAAGCTGCGAAATGTCTGCTGCTGCTGCTGCTTCGTAGGGCGCCTTCTAGAAGGCATTGATACAGAGTCCCGGGCTAATACCCGCGTGCGTTCCGTACGACCTTGAGCTGATGTGCGCTTGAGGCCTTTTCCAGGAAATCCAAGCAACCTAAATCATGGCAGCTGAATACCCCGCTCCACCATGATATGATTATTGTCACCATCGCCTATCAGCGTCGCATTTCATATATATTGTCAGGTATTCGCCTATCTGCATACTGATATATATTATAGCTGGCCACTCGGTGCTATTAATTCGATCCTGATGCACGAATCCTATATGAATATGTTATAAATTTATATATATTGTAAGTAAGAGCCGTGGCTTGTCCTGACGAATTACCTTATAGCTCTATTCCGTACCATGCACATGAGAAGACTCGTCAGGCGGTCAAGCTCATCGTTGCAAATAGGTCTAGAACGGGCTATCAACGTTATTACTTACTATTAGTTTTCATTCTACTTGGCGCCCACTCACTGGATTGTGTAGTCCTGCAAGGGGTGATTTATTAGGGGTCTTCCTGAGAGATTATACGAAGACATACCTTTTAGTCGTGTTAGCACTTTTGCTCGTGGATAGGTAATCACGACAACCCAATAGGCGTACAAGATTTAAATATCTTTTCGTTTAACTAGAGTAGAGAGGGAAGTAGTTCGCACTACCTAAAAGTAAAAGGCAACATTAAGACATGGGGATATTCAGTAGTAACAGGAAACTTTGCTAGGACACAAAATAAACTATATACGTAAGTAAGGGAGGGCAACAGCCGACACAAACGCCTAAATCCCTGACTAGAGCCTAGGCAAACTCGACCGCCAAGGTTTACGCGACGAAGACGGCAGGTCGAGCAAGATACATACCAACACATCCACCTGAATAATCCTCATACCGCCTCGCTTTCTACACTTCTACCTTACTTCTCCTCCGGCGGCGCGGCACCACCTGTTGTAGGGAAACCCATAAACATCTTGAAGTAGTCCTATTCCGTCGTTAGTATATTGCCCGGTTAACTAATACCGATTTTGTTCCCGTGGGAAAGGTAATGTTTAACACTTACATAAATCATCCACTGGAGACCAGTGAGAGTACCGATCATGACAATTCGGACAGGCAGGCCGTTCCACAGTCCCATAAAACCTATCTCCTTGTAGTTTCGGGCCACGGCGGCACCGAAAGCCTCGCCGGGTTTGCGGTTCGCATTGAGCTTGCTGACTAGCACATCGGCAGGGTGAGAGACGATGGCGCAAAGGATACCAGCCAAGTATCCACCAGTGAAGGAGACGGCTGTTTGGGCACCCGTGCCATAGTCGCTCTTCTTACCCGGGAGGCGGTCATAGATCTTCTCGACGATGGTCTCGAAGGAAGCAAACTTCATCATGGTGTAGGGGATTTGACGACCCCAGAGCGGGTATAGACCCTTGTACAGTCCACCAATACCTTCAGCCGCCGTGATCTTGCTGATACCGTCGAACGTACCCTTGTACGGTGGCGGTATCGTCGTCTGCATGCGGACTTTGACGGCTTCGAATGGGCATAGCGCGAGGTCGGCAAGGAACTCGGCGGAGGCAGAAGCAGATAGATATAGTAGCGTCTTGTATTTGTGCGCATTCTCGGGGCCCGCGAGATCAGAGTACGTCTTTTTGAAGTACTCGTACCAGCCGTACTTGAACGCTCCCTGCGCCGAATATCCGAACAGCGTCGGGCTCCAACCAGTGAAGATACCCGGAATACCCTCTTGCCGCAGAATTATGCCCCATGCTTGGAAGTTCCCCTTGTACAGCTTCGAATCGACTTGCCGACGGCACTTGACGAGATCCAAGGGAGTGACGGCGGTATGAGTCAGACCCTATAATTCTAACATGAGACACAGCCCTCGAAAGCGATTGCATGATAGGTTCCACTTACACAGGCGAGAAGACCACCAAATGTGGCTGCGGCGTAGAAAGTAGGGCTGTAGAGCTCTAGCTTTTTGCTGTCGCTCTTGACAGCACTGCTAGCTTTGTCAAGCTCCTTTTGAGCCTCGGCGCTGAGCTGCTTCGTCTTATTCTTCGCGTCGTCAACGACGGAGTACGCTGCGTAGAGCTCCGGACGGGCCTGGTACGGAGTGGCCTTGGTAGCCGGAGTAGTCCGCGCCTTGGTGTTCAACGGCGGGCCGAAGGACTGGTGGAGGACATGCTGATTAGGAAATAAATATGACATGGTGACTAGGTCCGATTCGATCTACTGTCTCCCAGTTAGTATGAGACATTTCATTATCAACAATATCAATCGTTGCCTTGAACTCGATTGCTTCACGGCACAACATGTCTAAACTTGGATAATAACTCAATGGATTAAGATACCGCGATGTGTCAGCGGATTTAACGGGTAACGTACCGTTTCACTTGGGTATGTTATCCTATTCCAATCAACTCGAAGTCGGTCGCAAACCTCAATATCCCGTTGTCAAGCACGCTACTACAATGGGACGACTTGAAGTGTTGTTCGGGAGAAGGTTTCTGGAGGCTCAAAGGTTTAACGGTGGAAAAAGGAATGAGGGAAGGATGCTCCGGAGATAAGGTATGGTTACTACCAAGGTAGTCTTAACGTCCAATACGATTCCTTCCCTTGTCGAGACATCTCCTGTTAGTGACGTCGGAGGGGTCGGCAGAGCAGCAGGGCAGGAGCTTATGTACCCTGTTACAAGAACATATTCTAAATTCTCACCTTGCCCGGGTCCAATAATTGATTAGACTTTCCGATTTAGTGGGGGTCAAGCAGCGAATCTACAGACTTATAACATAAAGATGATGATGATGAGTCTTTTTCCTTCTTTATCGTACCGGGTCAATTGGGATTTATAGAGTTATCTGTTGTGGCTTTGACTTCTTGCGAGAGATATCCAGCAGTATATACTTAAAGGTGCAATTAGAAGTGCTACTATATTTCTCCAGCACTCCAAGGACGACCATCCTTTAGTCTACGAAATAATTTCAACGCATATTGTTATCAAAGCATAAAATACAATACACCTTTAAAGTCAATTCCAATTCAACGAAGGTCAATATACATGAGTACCTCGGTACCTGGTGTATAGCAGCTTCCAACTATAGTAGGTATGTAAGTGTGGTTTACACTAGAGCTGTGTCACCGTGGGGCATCAAAAGGCCCCCACCTCGAAATTGTCAGGAAGGCGGCTAGCTCGTGATATCTTCCGTCATCTCAGACTCCACAAAGTCTCGAGCAAATCCAAAATTCTTACTCATACGTTGAACTACCTGACCTTTTTGATATTTCTGAGACGAACCTTGGAACTACGAGGCTTCCTTTAGGCGAAGAGGCTATTACCGAGGATAGGCAAATCTTTGATTCGAAAAGGATAGACCGCCTTAAATAAGCTCTTTGCCAAGGACAGGATTCTCCGGTATAGCCCCCCTGCAGCATCATAGGTTTTATACAGACATGGCGCAAACGATCAACAGTTCCGCGCACGTCGGTCCGTCGCCTGTTGGAACCAAGCCGTTCGTATCGAAATGGTCTTCCCGATATAGAGGTGTATGTCATATTACCCCTTAAAAAATGAGTCTAATATTATTATATATACTACAACACTAGACGTGCTCAAACCGAATATTAACTAACATACCACGTTAGGCTACAGTACAAGATCTCGAGCCCCCCGAAGCTCTCTCGCTAAACCCCTCGGACCCCGTCTCGCTCGCTTTAATATCCGCCTTCGAGCGCGACTACACGCACCTGACGATCGTAGACTCGGAGACGCGCGCGCTGCTAGGCTACGTCGCCATACCGGTGTTGCAGGCACAGCTCGACACGGGCAAGGTCAAGCCCGAGGACCCCATCTCCAAAGCCATGGCGCACTTCGAGCGCAAAGGCAAGAAGTACAAGGTCATCACCATGGCCACGCCGCTAGAGGAGCTCGAGGCGTTCTTCGAGGGCGGCGCTTCCGGCACCGGCCAGAAGCAGGAGTTTGCTGTCGTGACCGACGAGGGTAGGCGATTCGTCCTCGGCGTTGCCACGCGGAGCGATCTGGAGGAGTTCGTTAAGCGGAGACCGGCGTGATGGATGAGATGAGCGAGTGGATGTAGCGCCTAGGAGTTAATCGGTATGATCCAGACGGGGTTTGATATCAGGAGGGCATGGTAAATAACGGGTCAAGATCGGGCAATTAAGGGAAAGGCGCTACAGGAAGAAGGTGCTTTATCACACCGGGCTCGAGATTGTTACGGAGCATTCCTTGCATGGAGGGATTCAACACCTCGGGCTGGTTTATGCTATAAGGGCCCCCCGTTCAACAAGACATGGAGGCTACGCTCGAGCAGAGACGAAGTCGCAAATTGTATGTATGTAATGTGCTTCAGATTGCGAACCAGCATTGGATGATTACGCCGTAATATAGACAATTCGTATTTATCCCCTTAAATATCGCTCGTTCGAGCAACTCCCCCAGCTCACGGCTAGCTAGCTAGATGGGGAGTTGCTTCAACACCAGAGAAAACTCGCTCTCAAGGATTGGATGACAAGGCACTTATTTACTCAGGGACCCAGTCATACACCATCTTAAAGTTGACAAACGTGCCGTCCTTAGCCACGACCACATTCCGCACATACCTCCTCTCCCCACCCACGTTCTGGAACCCCCAGACCTGCAGCGCCGTCCACCCCGCATCCAGACTCTCGACGTGATTCAAGACGTGCGTCTCGCCCTTCGGCCCGCCCTTCTCCCCCTCCCCCTCCTCGAGCCAATCCCTCGCCGCGAAATCGTCCTCGACGACCCCGGTCCTACGCGCCTCCCCCTCCGGCCCCACGTGCGCGGCGAGCTCCTCCGCGCCGATCCACCGGCTGCGCCCGCGCACGCGCCCGAACAGCCAGTCGCTGTGCTCGCGGAACAAGTAGTCCAGACACCGGTTCTCGGCGGTGCCCTTGACGCCCGCGGTCGCGATCTGCTGGATGTCGATGCGCGTGACGAGCTCGGTGGTGCTGGTGTTGGGGGGCGTGGCCGGGCCTTGGTACTGCTTCGTGTCGAGGGTGACGGTCGCGGCGCCGATGGCTTTGCGCACGAGCCAGGATACGCCTTGGAGGGAGAGGGCTGGGTCGACGGGGTCGGAGAGGGTTTTGTTCTGTAGGGGGGGTTGGGTCAGTAGTGTATTAAGATGGAGGACGTTCCGGGGGGAAAAGGCTTGGAATGGTGGTGGTGGTGGTGGTGGTGGCTTACCAAAACCCACTTCCCGTTTAGATCGCCAATTGTCTTGGATGCCGGAGCGGCCATGGCGTTTGATGTCTTAGAGGGCTGTGTCTAGGACTAAAGGTATATAAAAAGGAAGAAAAAATCAAATCAAGAGGAGCTTGGGTAGGTATATAAAATTTGCTGGCTAGGCGGTATATGCTCGTACGACGTCGAAGGTCAAAAAAATCGGATTGAAGGTATCACAATCAGGAACAAGAAAAAAAAACCCCCAGAAACATGGAAATAGCTCACGTTTCTACGACCTGACTAATTAAATTAGTCCCCAAACTCGATCGATCGGTTATTACCTATTTATATATGTACCTAGATAGGTTATGTATTTCTATGTATAGGTAGCTGGTAGCGATCATATGCTTCTGCAGCACCAACTCAATCGTGGGACGACCCGAGGCATGACGCAACTCCCAGGTACAAGCTTGCGTTTTGAGGGATAAGCGGCCGCTCAACTGTGGAGGGGTCAATTGCTAGGTACCTACTTCAATAGTATGTACTTGTGTATGCGGGGTACTACATATACGCTAATAAGGTATGTAAACGGGCTTGGGAAGGAAGCTACCTACTACACTGCTACATATCGACAGCGGCGTCTTGGATTACCTCCTACTTTACATAGTACTATATGTCTATACCGCAAGTACATACATCCAATCTTGTACGCATGGATGTGGCTTACATGTGCTTACATCCAGTACCTATCTGCCGTCCCAAAGTGCAGTTCCACTTCTAATAACTATCCTGCATTTACCAGCCGATCTCTAGATGCGAGAGAGGTAGGTGACGCGTAACATACCTAGGTTAACGGATGCTTGGTGCTTACACGTACGATATCACCTATTTAGACCGTATTGAGTTGATGATCAAAGACTTTTGTTCCTAGACTGGAATATATACTTTAGGTAGTCAAGAGATACTAATCTGAGGTTTACTCTAAAACGGATACACTACAATAAACATAGATAGGATGAAAAGGGAAAAGAAATGCAAAGCGCAGGTAGCGAGGTTTTAAACTACAATAGTCTTTGTACTTTCATGTGATGTAACAAGGACATCTCACATCTGTAACCAACGGGGAAGAATACCTAGACAACTCTGGTTGCGCGGCTTGGAACGTTACTTGCTCGCGTACGAGATCTCCATGGCAGTCGATAGCAATAGCATTTGCTCAGAACTAAGCCTCTAATATGTGTTCTTATTAGAATGAATTAGGTCCCGGCTCTAAGTACGGTGAAAACCCCCCATACGCCTAGGATTTTTTTATACACGGACATGATGATTTCTTGATGAAGGGAACGCGGGATAAAAAAAAAAAAGGGATATCCTACTCGTACAATACAATTGCGTCGCCTGTCTTCTGCTCCTGTACACCGAATAAAAAAAGTTATTTTTTGAGACGACAGCTTACCATCGCCTGCAATTCCAAATCCGTCGTCGACCCGTTATCATGGAGTCATCACTGGCAACCAGATTTTTCCCTTCCTAGGCTTGGAAGGATTTGGGATCGCCATAGCCGTTTGGCTGCTTTGCTTATACATGCTCGCTTTTGAAAGGCGAGTGAATAATGTCTTTGGGGGGGTATGTAAGGTTATATTTCTCGAGCTTCTCCTGTTAGGGTTGCTCAAATCACGGCCACCACTTCATCCTCTTGTAGCTCTCGATCACTTCCTCCACTAGTTCCTTCGTGATAACCGGTTTTTGGTACTGGAATCCAACTACCGCCTCCAGCCGGCTGCCGTCCATGCTGAGGTCCGTATCCTTCAGCAGCTCCTTTTCCATAAAGGGAGTCAGCGGGCCCGGTCTCGTTATCCCAGCATCGGCGAGAAGGTCTGCCCAGGGTCCTAGAACATCGTCGTTGACATCATCCACAACGCTATCCATGTTGAGACGGGCGAGGTTGCTGAGAAGCTGGCCTTGGAATCCAGTCTCGATACCGAATACTTGGCCAATAATTTCGGCGATCGTACCCTGATTTGTCGTTCCTTTATCTACCACATTGAATGTCGGCGTCCGGCCCATGCTCTTCTCATCCCAATTGGCCTTGCCAGCGTCGTACCAGGCGGCAACCGACCATAGAGCCCGTGTAACATCGTCAATATGTGCTGTGTTTGTGTACAGGTCCTTGGTCCATAGGAATTTCATGTCCTCACCCATCGCTTGGTAGACGCGCGCCATGCACAATGCCGTCGCCACCCATTGAGATGCATACGGGCCGTAAACATGGGGTAAGCGTACGATGACGAGATTTAAGCTGTACGGGGAAAAGAGCCTATAGTTAGATTCGACCACCCTCTTCGAGAACTTGAGAATGTCAACTTACCCTTCAATCTTGGCGAGTTCCTCCTCCGCCTGAAGTTTGAACACGGCAATCTTGCTCCAAGGCTTGAGCTTGTCCGTCTCTTTGCTCGGCGCCGAATTCGACTTGTATACCATACCCGTGCTCAACTCTATGAAGCACTTCACCCCTCTCTTCGCCGCCTCTTTACCAACTGCTAACGACAGACCTAGAGACCGTACTTTGTATACTTCATCTTCCTGGGAATATCTCGTCTCGCCGCCGCAGTTGAAAACATAATCCCACTGTTTGCCATCGGGCCGGTCAAATATCCGTGCCAAAGCCTCTACACGAGAAATTCATAATTAGTAACGGCTCGAAGGAAAGAAAAAGTCTAACGAAGCTTGCTAAGACCTACGTTCTTTACTTGCGTCTGCTTGTATGAATTTGTCTGAGGAGCATGCAGTCTCGAACTCAGGCGCAAGCCAGGCGAGCTGCGGTAATACCTTATCTACTAAGCGAATTTCGGATGCGAGATCGTTCTCGTGTATATACCGGGCTAAGAACCGTCCGATATAACCAAGCCCGCCGATGATGAGTACCGACGGCTTCTCTGCGGCCATTGTGTGCGCTATTGCAACCCGATAGGTTGCGGTGTATTAGAGGGAAGAAGGAAACGGGGGAGGACGGGTTCGAGGCGCAACACGGGCGCGGGGCTACAGACGACTGGGTTTTTTATTTTTATTTTTTTTTCCTTCCGAGGGGCCGTGATCGTGAAGAAGTAAAATGACGGACAAGGCTATTGTTGGAAAAATGTTCCCGGTCTTGGAGATTTCAAGAGCTGAACTCGAACAAGCTACAGAGCACCGACACTGCGGTTATGTACTAAAGACCCAAGGGAATGCCTGTCTGTATTGTCAAGGTGGAGCAAGGGGCTATCCGTCCAACTCCGTCGAAGGTTGTGTCAGCTGCCCGAAGCTAGTAATATTGGTTCATTTCGCGGTTTAGGGGGGGTGAGGGCGGATCCAGTCCAAGCGAGCAGACCAGCCCTATATAGACGGAACAGAGCTAATAGGCCGCAGAAGGAATCAAGATTACTTTTACTGCTTCGATACTTTGATGTCTAGTGCAACCCCAACTTGTAGAGAACAGATAGAGAGAGATGAGAAGAACAAAAATAAATTTTAAATTGTGTCGTATGTGCAATGTGACGCAGGGGAGGCTTGGATTATTATGTACGTATGAGATATCTGCAGAGAACAATTGTAGGATGTTTAGGTCTAATGTACATAACCTACCTACATAATGTGAGCATGAGCAGCAGCAGCAGCAACAAGAAAAAAAAAAAAAAAAAAAAAAAAAAAAAAAAAAAAAAAAAAAAAAAAAGCAAGAGAAAACTAATATGTAACGTACTGTAGATCGGTACGCATGGGGAGGCCGCCACCGCCGCCAGCCCAGGTTTGGGCTGGTATGGATATGGTTATGGGTATGGTCGATGGAGCATCAGGGAGAAGCTGTGGAGTCCCAGCAGGTTGCTCCTTGTGGTTCATTTATGCACCCAGTGATTGCGGTAACCGCTAAAAGAGCACCTTGGCAAGCTGCTTGGCTGCGACCCCCCTTGTCTGTTTAAAGATGGATCGCTTGGGGGCCCGGGCTTGGGGTTGGGCTTGGGATGGAAGGCTTGGTTTTAGGTACGTAGCGTATGTCAGTGAGCAGTCCAACACGGCGAACAGAGACAAGAAAACGGAACGAACCGGCTTGAGAGCATACCTAACCTCCTCCTTCTCGTTAGAGATTAGAAAATGCAAAAAACAACAATGTGATTTAAATGTTTACAATACATAGTCGACGTATAGGGTGGCGTATAAGGTTGTATGTATCAATCACTACCTATGTACATACCTAACGTTGCAGATGGGATCAGATGGGATGAGATAGTCATGGCCACCGCCTCGTAACGCACGTAGTGGACAATTATAGCAACTATGCGATGCAACTCAAAGGGTGTCAAAGATGTTCGGTATTGATATGATATTATTAACGGATGAGACCATGTGTCTTGGGTTATCTTACCTTTTACCTTATAGGAGGAGAGGCGAGAAGGCAATAACAATAAGGAATAAAATAATGAGCGGGGGGATGTTTAGGTGAATGTTTAACTTAGGTATTTCATCAACTACGACATTGAGAAATACAATACAGTAGTTGCCTGTGGAAATAAGGATAGGGAAGAGAAGGCACGCTAATGAGATACACTACTGTGTAGCGTTAGGTAGCGTAGTGTAGAGACATGGGAAGCAAACTTTATCAATTACATTGGATATACATCTTAGGTTAACCCAGGTAAGTTAGGTAGACTATGTACACCCCCCTTCTTGGTTAGATAGCACGCAGCCAGCTGAGGCAAAACACTACCTACCACAGTACCACTAATATCAGGTTACTAAACTTGAAACACATACAATATCTGATATCGAGTAGGTAGGTAGGTACAGTACGTGGACCTATATAGGTATCAACGCATTCATACTATTAATGCATTCACGATCGGTACATATATAACACCGGCGACTGGAACTTCGGCTGTTATCACTACCCTGACTACCTATTCTCCAGTCTCGATTCAGTCTTGATTTAACTTCATACCTAGGTCATACCTGGGTCCTAGCTAGCCTAGCTAGGTCCCAATGACGCCACGGCCGATAGTTGGGTTCCATTCTTCACGGACATAGTCCCCGATACGCATGAGCGCTGCGGAATCTTCTATAATAATAACTCACACATATTATTGCACATCTTATTCCGCACGTATTTCCGAGAAAATATCAAGACTAAAATACAGATCAACCACCCACTGGCGCCAGTTCGTTCCGTAGTCCAGACCTTAATAGACCTAGTTCCATATAGCGTCAAACGGGCCTCGGCCGATAGGTATTCAGACACCTCAGGTCACCTGCCCACTTCCAACGACAGGGACAGTCCTCGGCATCGCGCCTTTTTTATCGGCGCGGTTACATGGCGTATATTACATACCTACCTATTCATACTAGGCGCCTACGCTAGGTGGTATGTAAAAGAGGCTCTTACGGAGAAAGCTTCGTCTGATGTACGGCCAAGAAGTCCAACAAGTCTCCATATCATCACCTGAGCATCAAACGTCCCCGGACTTTTAGGATCGTCTGTATCAGATATCCGCTACGTATGTACTTGGATAGCTCATAATGACACCACCCGAGCAGGGCTCATAAGCGCTACTGAGAAATCAATACAATACTGAATACTGGGATCCGAAAAGATTCCCAGGTTTATTCTAACTAACTAGCAGAGTACCGAAACCGTCCTGCCGTGTAAGCTCACAGATAATATATCCCTTCCCGGCCAATCGTAAATTCTCCTCGGCTGGCTGGCTGGCTGATGCAGCGAATTATTCCCTGAAATGACAATTGACATGAAAACCCTGTGCGCTATATGTACAATACTGAATACATACCACGGTATTTGTCTATGGTCTATGTCAGGGTACCCTATCCATACCCATACCGACTTGCCGACGTTTGCAAGGGGAATCCAGCCTCTGACATCTGTGCTTTTTTTCCTCAGCGAACCCCCTATCAGACATATCCGGGACCCTAAATCGCCCAGCCAGCCAACCGAGCGAATCCTACCTGAGCTGGGCAGAGACACGAAAGCGGAGCGTCCTTCTAGAAACATTCCATGCAGTGCACATCATCTTCCCACGGGGCCGTAAACGTCGACCAACGACAACTCGCCTGTTTGCTCTGCGCTCTGTGCTCTTGTCCCTTTCCCTTTCCTTTCCGCTATCGTGAGTCTTGGCGAAAGCGTGCCGAAACTTGCGACGCGGTGTATTGTACGTAGGTACCTATCTCATACTTATATATCGAATCTCAGGCCACCTTTTCAGATAACTACCTATTTTCGAAAGTTGCCTACCGATGTGTCGACGTGCAGTAGCAGGAGGAGGGGAGAATGACAACAACAACAATAACAGCATCAACGCGCAAGGTAAGATTAGGTTAGGTAGGTCGGGTTGGCCTAGGACTTCGCTCGTACACCACGTAGACTACATACATACCTACATACGTACAATTTCCGACGCGCGCAGAGAAGAGGCAGAGCAGAGTCGACAACACAACTACATACTGCACCGGATACCCTCCCCGGCCGGCCGCGTGGACATACCTACGTAGGACGATCATGACAGGCAAGTAGGCAGGCAAGCAGGCAGGCAGGATAATAATTCTCACGTCTTCCGTATCTCCTCTAACTAGTGTAAGTATAACAGGTATACCATACCAAGATCCGCTGGTTGCTCTTAACCGTTTTATAATTATAAACCGTCTTTTTACAGTTACACTTTCTTAAATATTTAAGATGATAAATGTTAGTAAATATTAACGTTTGACACGCTTTTAATAACAATTCGAATCTAAACGTTTGAAAAGGCTTGAAATATTCGAATATATTAATACTTTAAAATTTTAAATCATTTAAATCATTCAAGCGTTCGAGTCTATCTCTTTCCCGCTGCCCCTGTCGATCTACCCGAGCAGCAAGAAGCCTGGCAAGAGGCCTGTCTGGCTGATTAAGTCTTTAGAAGCATACCCAAGCAGCAAGAAGCGTACCCAAGTAGCAAGAGGCCTGGCTAATTAAGTCTTCGGAATCGTCTATATAAAGGCCTCTCCCCCCTTCGAAAGCGATTCTTCTTTCTTTCCTTCTAAGTCTTCAAACCTCAGCCAGCCAGCCAGCCAGGCCAAGCCAAGCCATTATAGCCAGGACCTAGGACCCAGGACCCAGGACCCAGGAGTCATCGTAGCCCCGTAGCCTCGTAGCCTCATCACGTAGCCTTATCACGTAGCATCGTAGCATCGTAGCATCGTAGAATTGTAAAATCTTCAATAGCCTAGGTAATCCTACTGCTTCTAATTGCGTTTGTACGCTCGTTTATACGCTCGTTTGTACGTATACGTACCTTCCCGTTAGCTCCCGTGGCTCCCGTGGCTCTCCCGTCTCCTTTTAAACGTTTAAAAGATTAAATACCTTATTAAATTTCAATAATTTAAAAATATAAATACCCGAAGTGCTTTCAAATGGTTTAAATATTTCCAAACGCTTGCTAAAGTTATTCAACGTTCAAGAAGTTGGAATTTCATTAATGAAAAAAAGTTTAAACGGTGAAAACACGGTGAATTAACGGTTTACTAGAACCAGCGGAACTTGGTACGGTATACTAAGGTAATCACTACTAGAGTCCAACTTAGGTATCTAATTCGGCGGGACGGAGCGAGAATTACCTTACCTTAGATATTAGTTTAGTTTAGTTTAGTTAGTTTAGTTGCACCGGTATTCTATCGCAGACTTTTACCTGCATGTTCCCGAGTCTAGATCTACCTAAATATAAATCATACGCTACAAAATTACATATTTTCTAATTACCTCGAACAACCAATGCCAGCATATGCCTGCTAATTTTTATTATTATGATTACCTATTATTAATTTTTTTTTTTTTTTTTTACGGGGTTCCTTAACCGCGCAGATCGACCTCTCCTTTCCAATGACGCTATACGCTATTTCAGATAGATCGTCGTCTCGGGACTAACCTAGCAGCCTAGGTAGGCACCTATGTATTTTACGTATTATGTATGGATAGACGTAGGTATGTATATATAGTGGAGGTAGTATAGCGGTCTAGAAAGAAAAGAAGAAAGAAAGAAATGTTCTAGTTAGTTACACTATGTATGTTAGGTTAGGTACCTGTAGTTAATCCAAGACCTGAACCTCACCTCTGATGTGTCAACCACGCGACACGACGGCTCCATCCGTCCCAGTATGTAGTATGTAGTAGTAGGCACTGTCTGTACCTTACATACGATAATACATACACGTACATAGAAGAAAACCCGAATCATTCCATCCGCGATCTGGATTCCTTCTGGAAGCAGAGACAGACAGAGATCATCGGCTACAAGAAACGCGCCAACCTGTTTCTCCCTCACCCCCCCCTTTTTTTTTCTGAATTGTC